GAAAGTACCTTGATAATCTATTCTATAATTATATATTATTTCTCTTCTAATACTAATATGTGAGCATTTTTTGAATTGATCGGCCATGGTCTTTTAATTAGTAGTTTATGCAGTACTTGCATAAAATACGGACTCCGCGAGACAGCAGAGAAAGATTAACATACGGCCGACCGTCGGTACGTTTATCACTGTTATTGTAATAATGTACGCCGTACGGATAGTAATAAATAATAATCGAACGGACGGACAATAAGGCCACAGTGCTACACACAACCTGCAGCACGGAGGCTAGCGAGCAAATGAAATGCCAGAAATGGTAATAGGAATTAGGAGTAGGATTGTAGGAAGCGCGTTGCGCAGTGCGCTATGCCACACTGCCGCGCCGCCGTGCAACCAAGGTCACGCACTCACGCATGCGCATATCGTCACAACTCAACGCGGTATTGCGAAAGCGAAAAACTAGTAAATTCGACCGTTCTCCATATACGTTGCATGTAAAAATCAAAATATCGTCCGTTTTCCTGTATATATATCTCTCTGTTCACTCTGTGCTACGACACCGGGCCGCCGTAAAGCACAGAACGCTCTCTAGCGAGATCTATCGATCAGTTATTATTTTTTTGTTCACTGAAATTATTAGAATTGTTAATGGTCGCCGACGAATGTCGACAATAATTGACGATAGCCATAGATATTATTATAAAATATATTATTTACTAAGATAAATCCATAGAGCTTATATACTATACTCAGTACCTAATCGGTCTTTGTTAAATCGTACGTACTTTTACAGAAATTTTTGTGATCAGCAATGTACTTATTCTGGTTTTCTATTTCATTCATCATAGTTTGCATGTCAAATTTAACTATCCGAAACTGGTCCGCAAATGTATAGACATTCTATTAAATTACAATGTGAATTATTATAAGTCTTCTTTGTGGTACTTGCCAAAAACTCGACTATACCGGGATTTAAATTTTAAAAAATGTGATTTAGGTAACCTATTGGCTATTGATGTATTATAAAATAGAAACTGAACCTACCAATAATAATATCACTTTATAAAATAATTAAATGTGATAATTTGAAGACAATTTCTTAAAACCTCTAAAATATTTTTTTTAATTTACCTAGTGTTATAAATTTATAATCTAGTTAACCACTCAAGCAAATTTTTTAATTTTTTTTTTTCGGTAACCCATGTGTTGTGACCAGTTAAGATGTATATCTATGATGCAAAAATTAACTGCCGGAAATTATTAGTTTTTATGGTAAAGCTTTACGAAGTTCACGATTTTCGGTGTTTTAAGTGCTTGTAAGAATTTTGTTTTTTTAAAAAGAAAATCACCATTAATTTTTATTTTTGTATAGGTACCTAAAATATAAAAAATATTATATTATACATATACCTTCAGGGCCCCGCATACATTGAATGTGTCCGGGGTCCCAAGAATCCTAATTGCGGCACTGGTAGGTACCATCTATTAACTATATTAAGTAGATATTACATGTATTTTTACTGTTATTAATTATTATTATATTTTGACAGCGCCGGATCATAGCTTTTTAACACCCGGGGAAAATTAAAAAAATACGCCCATCTCAGGGAGATGACCAGAATTTGTATTTTTTTTACGAAAAATCAAGCACACTCACACAGTATTGCGAGGAACTGAGAATCAGCATTTACAAAACCTTTCCAAATATACTGCAGGACCAATCATTTATTTACCACAAATAATTTGAACGATTTTAACTTAAAAATGAAACATTTTAAATTTTAAACTACTCACGTAATGTAGTTTTAGAAGCACTTCTTAATGGTGTATCTAAAGCTAAAATCTGTGGTCAATATTTCTAATTTCCAGGTTTAGAATAAATAATATTGATAATAATAACATGTATATGAATTATTTATTAACAAATCAAAATTAGGTATCCATTGCAATATTGTTTTTTCTGTTTTGGATTCTGGACATTTTAGTTTGAACTCTTTAATGTGTTTTCCTACTGTATAATTTTGTCTAAATTTTTTTTTTGTTTTCTGAAATGCTGATCAATGAAATCACTGATAACCTGATACCTTCTGTATTATAATTCTTTAATGAGCTAGTTAATCATTATGAACGGTTTTTTCTGTTTATGAATCTGAAGATTGTAGTTTGAACTCGTTAATATGTGTTCTTATTTTTGCGAAATTTTTTTTTGGTTTTCTTAAATGCAATTGCCTGCGGGCGCCAACACTCCCCTTCAATTTTTTTTTTAGGAATTTGACTCTAGTTGAATTTATTGTATAGACTTGAATATTTTAAGGAAGCAGTCTGTATCATCATTCTTTAATGAGCTAATCATTGGCAATATTGTTTTTTCTGTTAAAGATTCTGTACATTTTATTTTGAACTCTTTAATGTGTGTTTCTACTGTATACATTTTTCTAAGTATTTTTTTTTGTTATCTAAAATGTGTTTACCTGATTTAGACTCAGCACACTCAGCACGGTTAAGACGTTACTGTTATTTATTTCTGCCATTTTGATAATTTTTCCGGTAAATCATAAATTATAATATTATAATAATATAGATTTAATATATTTGAAAAAAAAATGAAATACAAAATTAAGGTAACGCGGCGCATTGTATAGGCAATTCAGCTACAACAAAATTCATTGTTGTTTGTGCAGCTCACATACTTGCAACGACTTGACTTAAAGTAAATAATATATATAGTTAATAATATATAGTAGACATCTCTATCGAATTGACAAATTTATAGTTCTTGATCTGCAGACAGCGAGGTGGGGTAGATTTCGGCTTATCCACCACAGATGAGCGACCAATTATCGCAGTGTGGCTAAGTTGGCGAGAGCTAAGAAGTTGTCGTTAGCTGTAAAATCATTACATAGTCATTGAAGACCGATAAAATAATATTTCTTTGTCTGTCCATTCCATTTATTCGAACATAACCATGGCTTACATGTGACTTCATACTTACTATTTAATTTTTCTAAAAATGTTGTCGTGCACAATTTATTAGTATATTTAATTTCAAAAGTAAATTTTAGTTCTAAAACCTAAATACCAACAAGGTCAGATTTGGCTATCCCGTCTATGAATTTTAACATTATTTCCTTGTTCCCGATCAAAGTGAATTACCACGCAGAACGGCAAATTGAAACACTCTTTTTGCTTGCAACGTCATCTACGCCTAAATAGAGACCGGTTTTAACCACTGAATTAAATCGTCGGTCAACACTCCATCGCGATAGTACCTACAAGTTACAACGAATTAAGAACGATATAGCAAAAATTAATTGCCGGAAATCTTTAGTTTTTAATTGAAAATGACATTGAAGTCTGAATTTGGTGATCATACTTATTTGAAAGTTATAGCCAATTGAAATTTTGGGTATTTTCATATATACCCGACGTACCCGGCTGCGCTCCCTCAGACAATTATAATCAAAAACATCCATCGACTTGTTATGTAAAACCACCATGGGTGGGTGTCAGAATTATTTTTGCTCCATCGTTCTAAAACATTGATTTAACTAGGTTTCCGAAAATAAAAATTGAAAAATTTGCGTGGGTGCTACACTATATGGATTATAACTCATTATTTAAAAAATATTTTAGGGGTTTTAAGAAATTGTCTTCAAATTATCACTTTTAATTATTTTGTTTAGTGATATTATTGGTAGGGTAAGTTTTTATTTTATAATAGATCAATAGAAAATATGTTCCCTAAATCACATTTTTTTATTTAAATCCCGGTAGTCGAGTTTTGGACAAGTACCTACATAGGTAACATTTAATAAGTCATATTGTAATTTAATTAGGTAGAAAAAATACTCAAACACCGTGTCTAGGGGCACTGGTGGGAGAATGTATTAGAATGTCTATAAACTTGTGGACCTGCTGTTTATGTAGTTATATTTGTCATGAGAACTATAACAGAAATAGAAAATTAGAATATTTACATTGCAGTTCACAAAGATTTCTGTAAATGAACAAATGATTTATAAATTATAGGCCGTATTATAGATACTGAGTATAATATATAAGTTCTATGGTATGATACAATTCTACAAAAATAAAGACAGTGTTCAAAGGAATAATACAATTTGTATTTGTGTATAGTTAAGCATGTAGTATAGGCTTATTGGGCACAAGTTTTATTATAATTTTAACTTGTACCTAGCTTAAATTAAATATTGATATTTACATTGTGTCATATAAGCAGGAATTGTAAGTTGAAGCCCTAAAAATTATTAAATAAGCATGCACTTATGCGCTAAAAACTAGCAAAATAATCCTTTAAAAGTTCAGAAATATGCATTCATATGCACTCAAAATCTAAAACTATACATTAAAAAATAAGTGGATTAAAAAATGAAGACATCAAATGCAATTTTTGAAATAGCAAGAATTATCTATTCATATTTTTAATAATTTGACATAGCAACAATTCTCATACATTTAATATAGTGAAAAAATATAAATTATTGCATTTTTCATTAAATTTAAATTTTTCTGTATTATTTCAATAGAAAAAAATTTATGTTAATATAATAATATCAATTTAGTAATATTAAAAATATGAGTAATATGCCCTAAAAAATAGAAAAACCGATGAATACCTATGAACAAACCTATTAAGCTTCACATACTTAACCATCGTACCTTGAAATTAATTCCTATTTCATCTAGCATTAAATACACCTTTTTTTTTCCCCCGTTTGAACCGACAGCAAAGGAGGATCTGTGTGAACACTACTACTCCTCTGCTGCCATCGTTTATTAATGTTTAATGAGAAACGTTAATACATGCACATTCTTAACACATAACTAATTATGGTTGCTTCACCTTGAAAATAAACATTAATACAATAGGTACAATACAATGCGATACAATAAATAATAAAGTCAGTCAATTGGAGCGGCTTACACTGCATTCGCTCTTCGTTCGGTCTCGGCTATCCTTTCATCATGCTCCTTGCAGCTTAAAATGTTGTCAACCATGTCATAAAACTATAAAAGGACTGGGTGGCACGTTGGGAGGCAGCCCGTAGCCGGTCGTTCTCGCTGAACGGGACATCAGTGGGGCCGCACAGCAAATCCTGGACGTCTCCCGGGGTTATATTTCGGTTACCAACAAACATCTTCACTGGCAGCCGAAGCGGATCCCAGTAAGCACAATCAAATATTGTGTGTTCCGCAGTGTCCTCAGGGTGTTGGCAGTACAGGCAAGCCGCATCAGGGGCGCGCTTCATCCTGTGTAGGTAGTACCTGAAACACCCGTGTCCCGTAAGAGCCTGCGTTACATGAAACGTGAGGTCTTTGGGCCATCTTTTCGTCCATCTTATCAGGTCCGGAAGAATCGTGCGCGTCCAGGCTCCTCTAACGCCCCGACTCCATCTGTTTGAATCAGCTCTGTCCAGATCGTCAAGTTTACTTCGGACTCTTTTGCGTTCCAAAGCAAGAAGATCACCCGGAGGAGTTCCCGCCAGGAATAAGGCTGCCTCAGCCGAGACTGTGCGGTACGCCCTCGTGACTCTGAGAGCCGCAATCCTCTGTGCCCGGATCATAAGGTTTCGACAGATAGCGTGGCATTAAATACACCTTAGTAAGATTGATATACAAAATGCATGGATGAACTTACAAGCCCTGCATGTTCAAAGGTTTTCTGGACGGCAGGCTCTGTGTATCTGAGCCAAACATCCCCGTATATCCAAAATTAGCTGGCGAGACAGCTGCAGATATTGGGTGGCGATCAACGCCAAACTTGAAGTTTAACGGTACCAATGATATACGAAGACCGGAACCGTCGAAAAATTGTGATTTCAAGGGTTTTCTGGACGGCAGGCTCTGTGTATCTGAGCCAAACATCCCCATACATCCAAAATTAGCTGACGAGACAGCTGCAGATATTGGCCGGTGGCGATCAACGCCAAATCTAAAGTTTCAGCAGGTCACCAGCGATGTACGGAAACCGGCAAGTCCGAGACACACACGTCCTCGTCATTCATTTTGAAGCCACACAAAGAAATTTGTCAGGCGGTTCCTTTGTTGTTGTGGTTCTATTGACAAGATAGACCAGTAATATGTATATTATAGAGTTTAAAACGTATTTCATGCACTGTACGTCTGTACCATCGTCGGCTCTTCGCCACCTGTTTTGTTCTGTATTAATTAAATTAATATTATTAATATTATTATGTTACTCATATTAAACGTATTATTATAAAGTATGTACTATGTATTAATACCTATCATTCTATTATATCTACCTCATTCGCTTTGCATAAATATATGTAATAATCATTAATCCTATATGGTCACGCAGGTGGATATTGTATTTCCATAAATGTCATCGATTTTCATGATAGTAAAAAAATTAAAAATTATCTATACTAGAGTGATTTACTTCACCTTCCGTTTAACCACCCCAAAATCGAGCCATGTACGGGTGCGCATAATATTATATGAGCGATATATTATAAGTCCACGCCTCTTCGTTTCGACTAGTTACGAATTATATTATAGTATTTACCTATTCGCAAACAGCTCGGTGTTATATGCCTGCGGATAATGTTATTTGTTCTGCATCGTGATATGGAAATAACCGAATACACACTGAAATAAACGTGCAACCATGTAGACGTCTCTGCGGCAAACACCGCGCCGTAAGTTTGAACTAGTGGTAGACGTGTTATTCGCACACTCCACAGAGTCGGTATATTATACTGTAATACTATATAGGTGATCCGAGTTCTAATGTTGGACTCGATGGCGTATAATTGTACACCCCAATTTTTTGTATACAATAATATTTATTAAAATTAATATACATATCATCAGCCTAATTCGCAATTGACTTTCTTATAGACATTTTTTTTTTTGATAAAGGTAGATAATCTTATAAGGAATCTTGTATTCCATTTTCAAATCTTAGATTTAAAAAGAAAAATTTTTACGAATTCTTAACTCAAAATAATTTGCTAATTTTCGTGATTTTTCCATATTTTTACAATTTTTGAACTTTAAATGATTATAAAAAAAAATTGTAACAAGGATTTTTAATATTTTTCATCTGCCTTTGAAACAATATACTAGGAGCCTTCTTTTAAATTTTCAACTTTTCGCAACCAACAAATAAAATTTTATTGATATTTTTAGAAAAAAAACTAAAAAAAGATGGAAAATGAAAATGTCCCTAAACAGTTCAAAATAAATCAAAATATTTTGAAAATGTTATCGTGTATACAAAATGCAAATATAAACAACCAGTGAAAACTTCATGTATATACGTTCATTTCTTTTAGAATTATACCAAATATCAAATCGATTTTTTGGAAAACCGATTTTGCGTAAAAATTCCCGTTTTTCCTTAATTTTTATGTTTTTTTCCCGGTGCTTGTGAAAACTACTGGGAAATTTTTACTTTTGAACCCCCAAAGTACCAACTAGATTCACTTTCCTGTCAGAAAAGATACTGTTGAAGAAAATCCAAGCACTTTTACTGTCCTAAAACGTGATGACAGACACAAAAATAAAAAAAAATTTAAAAAAAAACACATCATTGTAAAATCAATACATTCATCGTTTCACTCAGAATCTAAAATAGACAAAGTGAAGATAAATTAAGCATTGGAGACTTTTTGACAGCTGTGTCTAACAATATAAGAAAACGAACCGACTGAACCGAATCTGACTATAATTATATACATTTATTTTATTATTAATTAACTAACTAATATTATATTTTTTTTTTTTTTTTACTAACTAATATATTTAATATACCTACTAATTAGGTATATTATTATAATTATGTACTTTTTAAATATTTGCTTTGGGGATTTTCTTTCCAATTACTCTTCTGTGGGGGGGGAGCAAGCGCCCCCGCAAATACGCCACTGTTATATACCTATACTTTATTCGTTGTGGTTGCCAACTAGATACAACCATTTATCACCAGACACGTGTACGATTCCCCTTATCAGTCACGCAGTGATAACACGACTGTGCCGACATGTCATTTTCGGTTGTCGCGTCCGCTGAAAACGATAAAACGTTACACATACGTATAATATTACTGTAAACAATATCGGCGGCGTCGTCGTCGTCGTCTTCGTCTCAGGTACCGCAGCGGTGCTCACTAGCCGAAAACCGTCTTCAGGGTCTGTCAAAGTACTCGGCATCCCCGCGGCAGACGAACCATGGACAAACGGGCCAAGTTCACCGTCTGCGCCGCCGGCATATTCGTGTGCTATTTCTTCTACGGAATACTCCAGGAGAAGATCACACGGGGCACGTACGGCACGCAGGGTGAAAAGTTCACCTACTCGCTGTCGCTGGTGTTCGTGCAGTGCGTGGTCAACTATGCGTTCGCGAGGCTCGTGCTCAAAGCGTTCCCCGAAGAGAGCCCCGACACGACCAAATCGGCATACTACGCCGTCAGCGCGGTCACGTACTTGCTGGCCATGATCTTCAGCAACATGGCCCTGCAATGGGTCAACTATCCCACTCAGGTACGAAACATTACAATCACGCCGTAAGGTTTACCCTAGATCAGCGTTTCACTCAACCCCGGGGGGTCGCGTCGGTCAGATATAATTTGAACACAGTTGTAGTTGTACAAGGACAATGCCTTTCATTTACATCAAAAATGAAATACATGACCATAATGATGAAATGAAAGAGTTGGTTTATAGTGTAGAACATACACTATAAGCTATACTATAGGTACCTATACTAAGTTATAACTTGTAACCTTCTAAATAATAAAGCAAAAAGTATAAATTAATGCGATGTTTGAGATTGTTTTTGTTACTGATTTTATTTTTCTCCTATTTTGGGGTCGCGATGTTAAAAAAGGTTGAGAAACGCTGCCTTAAATAATAATATTAATAACTTCTACATGGGTACCTTACCTACCTACTATGATGCAGACACACTAGATATTATGCACATGTCACATGCATTATACATACATAGGTACTTCATGTGCCGTCTGTCTCAATTAATTATTCAAGAACAAAAAATGATCAAGTATGGCAACAAAGATTCCATTTTTTTTTTTTTTTACAGGTGGTTGCCAAGTCCGGAAAGCCCATACCGGTCATGATTCTGGGTGTGCTGTTGGGACGCAAGTCTTATCCGTTGAAAAAGTATCTGTTTGTACTGCTCGTCGTCATTGGAGTAGCTTTGTTTATGTTCAAAGACGGCAAGTCTAATTCATCACAAGCAGATTCTTCTCGTATGTTTATAATAATACGCTCCCCTTTACTAGATAGATTGCTATCATCAGATTTATTGTTTTTACATTTGCTAATGATTATGACGTTATGATGTTTACAGTGTTGGGACTCGGGGAAATACTGTTGATATTGTCATTGACAATGGACGGTGTAACAGGAGCTGTCCAAGAGCGAATGCGCAGTGAATCAAAGACAAAATCTGGGCATATGATGGTCAACATGAACTTGTGGTCAATGCTGTTTTTGAGTGTTGCACTTATTGGCACTGGTCAAATATTTGACTTTATAAGCTTTGTACAGCGTTACCCACAAATAGTAGTACAACTACTGTTATTCTCAGCGTTTAGTGCACTTGGACAATTCTTTATATTTTGGACTGTAAGTGATTTTGGACCTTTACCATGTTCAATTGTAACAACAACAAGAAAATTCTTTACTGTACTTGCTTCAGTTATATTTTTTGGAAATCCTATGTTAACTAGACAATGGATTGCTACTATTATAGTATTTGTTGGATTATTCTTGGATAGTTTCTATGGTAAGCAACCTGTCAAAAGTAAATGATTTAAACATTAATTTATAGTTGAAAGGATTGTTTATAATATTTTATGTGTGATTGCTTTTGATAAAAGTATGTTGAATTAATTACAATAACTTTGCATATTGCATTAATTTTAATAAAAACTACTCATTTATTTTTTGAACTAAGAATTGAGAAATAGTTCTGTGATATTATGACATTAAATATAAAAAAAAATATTTTTTTGAGAAATTAGTTTCTTTCCATTGTCTTATATTAATTAACTAAGGAGTTCACCAAAATATTATTGTTATTTTTACCCTCTTCCAAATCAAGGCTTAGAGTTAATCTGAATTATTTATTTAAAATATTTAATATAAATCCTATTTTATTTTTGTTTTATTTATTATTATATTATATTGTTAAAATTGTACATTTTAAAATATACATACTTCAATTACAGACATTTATGTGTTTATCATAGTATAGTAAGCCCTGTTTAAAATGAAACAGGTTAATTAAAGTTCTCATTCTAGACCCACATTTTTTTTTAATGAATTTTACAGCCTGATTGTATTATATTTCCATATTGTATACTTCACTCAAGTAATATTTGATATTAATATTTTTATACATTAAAATATAATTTATTTATACTATAATTAATATATTTAAGTATATGTAACAGTGTACAAATACATAGACATTGATTATAAATACTAATAGTAATAGTATTTAATATTTATAATCAATGATATATTATAGAGTAAATAACTTTCTAGACTTGAACATTCCTTTAAAATAATGAACAATAATGAACTAATATATTTTCATTATGTACAAACACAAAGAAGTAAAATTATTATTAAAGTCAAATTTAATAGTTATTACTCCTTAATAAAACTGATAATAAACTTCATAAATGTAAATAATAACTTTTTTTTTTTTTATTTTATCTTACTATATTGTTATAATAAAATATTTTCAAATAAAACAAAATTTTATTTTAACTCGAATGTTTCTTTGATTATTATTAATTATTTTGTCAAGAACATTACATTTATTTAACACTTTCAACGCCGCTGACGCGTATACGCGGCAACAGAGTTTATTCCATTGGGCCAGTGACCCGTTTACGCGTCAGTAACATGTACGTTTGTATCCGCCATAATTTAATCGATTTTATTTTAATAAACTCTGAAATGTACACAGGCTGTAGACAATAAACTCTAAATTTAAATCTATAATTGGTTTGAGTTTTCGTTATTATTAGATACTGATAATCGTTGTTTTTGACGGCCTTCCCAAGAAAATGTATATGAACGTATACAGGGTGTATATTAGATATATTATTATATTATGAATTTTTCTACTGTTATTTAATAATAGTAACTTACTGTATCATGCAATATGGCTACTTTGCCACTAATAATATTGAAAATACAATAATTTGTTTCATTTGGCGTTATATACGATACTACAACGGATGCCTGCAACGCGGCGTCGCGGTATAATTGCTGAAATCACGGGCGGCGTTGAACGTGTTAAATAACACTCGAGTGTTATAATATGTACTTTCTGATATTATATTGTTTTATATGACAAAAGCAAAATATGCTCAACAGTTAACATTTACACATAAGTAGTTCGGTGATTAGTATATTTCAATACCTGATCTCTCTCCTTTATTGTATGCCTCATGGCTTAAACACTATACAAATATATTTTACAACAACAAAAATATTAAATATATTACATAATGGAATTCTAGGGCATTAAACACCCATAAGTAACATTCTATGTTGATGACTATTCATTTGAGATTTAACTACAAGTTTCATGGACCAACGGTTCTATATATTAGTGAATGCTATTCTGTCTTGTATATCTGGAATCATTTTTTTCTTTCTCACTCATCCATTCCATCTAAAAATTGGAAAAAAATTAAAATATCTAATTGTTTTGCAATTTTGTAGTTTAGGAAATACCTTTTGTTTATGCTGCTTAATTGCATCTTCACACCGGCTTATAACCATCGCTTTAGTTAACAGACCATCTTCCGAAGTATAACCAGCTGCTTGCCAAGCCACCCCTAACTTGGCAATTTCTCTACCAGACATTCCAGCGGTCATTTCTGCCATTTGTTTGCATAGGGCACTGTAGTCGAATTTCTCAATATTCAACTTGCTACAAAACCATATATTTCTTTAAAACATGAAATAAATAATAATATAATTGTAATCATCTTTTACACTTTGCTTTGAGATGCTGGGGTTAAGACATATTTATCAAAGTATAGCATCATTAAACGTTCTCGTTCTTCTTTACCTGGTAGACCAAATTCTACCATTTCATCTAGTCTGTCATTTACTGCCCAATCAAATTGTTCAGGAGTGTTACTTGCCAACACTAACATAAATCTAAAATTTTAAAAAATAGTCTTAATTTATATTACTTACACAATATAATAATACATGGTATATCGTGAAGAACTGACAAATTAAATAACTGATTCTAATTAATATTTTATTAACTCTTGCGCTAATCATATAATATAACAATTTTTTTTTTTTTTAATGCTGAAAGTAAATGTTTTCTAAAAATTCAAAACAACCAATTTGTAAATCCGGTTTTTAGATTATAGACTGAAAAAACACTCATCTGTCATGTAGTTGGTTTTTTCTGTATTTTTAAACTAACCTAAGTTTTTAAAGACTTATTAGTTTGAAAATTAATAACTTTTTAAAAAAATATTTAAATTTTAACAAATACTTGTTTAAAAATTCTGGTAAAAATTTAAAAAAGTTTATACTTTTGAATTTGAAATGTTTTTTTTAAGACTGGATTAACATAAATTAACAAAAATAATGAGATGAAAAATAAAAAAAAAGTTATGTAATACATGTAGGTTAGTGTTTAATAATAAATTATAAATAAAAAATAAATATTGATTAGAACAAAAATTATTTCATTTGTCATGCCTTCCTGTTACATACTGTACATATAAGTGCATGTACGTTTGGATGAGGCTTTAAGAAACTACTGAACCCATTAGCAACCCCAGTATATAAACACAAAAAATAATCGATTATCGTGAGCCAAAAATATGCATATGCGAGTCACTATTGTCTATAGCAACTGGACTGAAAAATGAAGCTATACAAACACTCAAAGAATTTGTGTGCAAAATTTGGTGCCAATTGGTAGTTTCCAAGTGTATAAGCTCTATGCAAACACATTTTAATTTTTATATAATATATATATGTATATATTAAAATATAAAATAGTGGTTGTTTTATGGGATCTGCATGAACCTATCCCTAAATATTATTAATGTTTTAATAGGTATGTATTTTATACATTTAAATATGTAAAAATATAATCTACTCTAAACAAAAACTGACTTAATAAATTAGTATCGTATGATTATATGGATAAAATATTGATACATATTAAGGCAAATAATTCACGTTTACTTGTTTGATTGGTCTCCAGTTCTATATAAAAAGGCATTTAATGTGGCACGTAAATTTTCACTAATCAGCTCTGAACTACGTTTTCTTAAAAATGCATCTGCTTCATCAACAAATAACAATAAACCTTTTCTTGAGTTAGTTGCCCAATCAAAAACTTTGTGCATTTCAGTTACTCCATCCTTTCCCAAAGGTGCTACATCTCCACCAGTCAATATAGCATAATCCATACCAGAATGCATTGCTAATTTCTAAAAGTAATACAGAATTAGTCCACATTTTTTTTAATTGTCAAACAATTGATTACACAGACATATAATATATTGAAACATGTATTACAATTTAGTGAAAACATACATTAGTTTTTTAAGTGAGTATAAAAAATATTGTTAGTTATCATTTGTGCCTCCTATGATTCCATAAGACTTGTTTTATTTATTATTTCAATTAATAAAATAAGAAATTAGGGAAGGGTTCTCAAACCCTCAAATTTTAAGTAATTCAAGAAATAAATTGGACTTAAATATTTTAGTCCTAATTTGAACATCTCAAAATAGAAGAGTAAACAGTGTGTTACTATTATTATATCTTAAAATTGGCAATGGTTAAATTGTTAAAAATTTGAAATGGGTAGTTAAAAATTCAAAGATAATTAAGTTTGATCCATTTTATCTGTTTAACACATGATATTTCACTAGAAAAAGTAGATAAAAATAATTATATTGAATATTATAAAGATTATTGTTTTAAACATTAGTTATTTGGTCATCAACCAATTTTTTACTATTATATAACAATATCTTACTTTGGCAAACAGTGTTTTTCCAGTACCTGGGGGTCCGTACATCAAGATATTCCGGTACATACCACGGTTTTTCTTAGTATTTAAAGTAGCAATTGCAACATCACTACAACATAGTCATTTAAATATTTATTGTAATATTAAGACATCTTATTTATAAGATACCCATGCATTTGTTGTCTCTGTCTTACACATGTACAACATAGAAAAATCTATTTTCTCTAGTTTCAATAGTGTGCTGTATGTTTTGATATTAGAGTGAATTGACTGACCATCAAACTTTTAAGTAAGAACATTATCTGTGCTATGCGTCAGTGATTTTTTGACATATTTATTTTCAAGCAAGATATTATGGGCATGTGAAATATTGAAAATTAAAAATACTCATATCTCACTTGAAAATTAAAATATTGAAAACCCGCCAAACCTTAAGCACAGATAATTTTCTTAACTAAATGTTTGATAGTAGGTCAATTCACTTTAATATCAAAACTAACAGCACACCATTGAAACTATTGAATGGAAATTTGGTATGGCGTAAGTGTGTAAAACGGAGACAACAAATGCATGGGTAGATTCCTCTAAGGATTTTTGTAATGATATGATTAAATGTAAATATTTTATACATACCCTAATCTAGATTCTAATTTTGGTGGCAAAATAACATCTTTTAACGCACTACTTTTTTTAGTTCTAAGTTCCTTAAATGTTAAAATTGGATGTCTTACTGATTCTAACAATGAGAATCGAGATGTTTCTCTTACCAACGAAGGTTTGCCTAAAAATTAACAGAAATTTTAAAATATAATAATTTTAAGATTAAATATATTTTTAATTTTGATTTCTAATAAAATTTAGTAGGTTTCCTTAAACATTTCAATAATTTGAGATCCAACAACATTATATAATAAAAAGTTAAATATTTTATTTTAACTTAAGTATATTCACCTAATCTTGATTCAACATATTTTGCTGTAACACCGGTAAAACCCTTGGCACTGTATATACCTAATGCCAAAAGAGATAAGCCTCCTGCAGCCATTAAAGTTTTATCCCAATCAGAGAGCAATGCATTTGCTCCACTTCCAAAAATTGAGCCTGCAGTTCTTGAAACAAAAAAATTGTAAATATTTACATTTTATACACTGATTATGGCATTTTAGTAAATACTTTATGGACTCCAAAACGGTTTGTCGATGTTCAGAAGCTTTTAATTTGAGTTGTTCCATTGTTAAATCATGGTTCTCTCTTTCTGCCTTTGCTCTTGCTAATGCTTTAGCCTCAGATTTCTTAGCATCTAATTTAGATTTCATTTCAATTTCATGTTCAATAGTAGCTGTAACAAAAAAAAAAAAAAATGTAATATGTACCTAGTATTTAAAATATTTAATTATATTTAAAAATACCTTTTTTCATAGCTTCTTGCTTAGCTACAGATTCTTCTTGTCGTCTTAAGTTCTCTTCATTAGAAGCGCGTTGTTGTTGAAGCTGATCATCATACCTAGTGACGATTGGCAGTTCATAAATCAGTTTCATACATTTAGGTGGGAAAGGAGTTCAGAGTTATCTGACTCGTTATATCGTCATCAATTCTTTAAACGTGAATATACAATGTTGACAGGCCAAAAATTGTGGGGTTATTTTGTATAAAATAGTACCAACTACCAAGTAATATAAAAGGAAAGACAATTGTATTACTCTATTTGTTGATAAATTTGATACACTTTGTTTGCCTTATGCCACTACACTAGTTGTGTCCGAGTGAATTTTTATTTTTACATATTAATATAAAAGTTGATAGGTGGGACTTGCCACTGTGTTGCCTTGTGTATCAACACAGCGATGGCAATACATTTGCATTATCTACTGCAATGTCTAGTACTTTTGTACTCCAGCTTTTAGTCTATTTTAACAACATTGGATATTTATTCATAAATTAACAATTTTCCTATTCTGTTGTCATTCAAAAAAGAATTAACCATAGGTATATGAAATTTCCACAGACTGTTGTTATGAATATTGTTTATAATAAAAATTATTGTGATGATTGGTAAGTCCCTCAAAGAAACAAGTATGTGTCACACTTAAATATAAGAAAATTGATTGCATGCCACGGTCAATAACTGATTTATGGAACATAACTATTTTGTAAAATTATACAGTTAAAAGCAAAAAGCATATTTTAATTTCAATATACTTGACTAACCTTTTGCGGGCTAATTGATCTTGATATTGTGACCGTAATTGATGCTGTTTAGTTTCTTCTGCTAACAACTTCTTTCTTTCTTCAGCATCAACCCGCTTTTGTTCGACACGTACTTGTTCCAAGCGAATTTCATATTCTTTTATTTTTGTTTGATACTCTATTTGCTTTGTAGTTTCTTGCAATTTAGCTAAATCTAATGCTTCCTTGGCATGTTCTTAAAAATTGTATATAGTAAAAACGTAATTAATATATATTCTATTCTCATAACCACTAAAACATAATAATATACCAACTTGACTTTTCCAATTCTTTGGCAGCTTTAGCTGCTCGTTCTAATGCAGATGAATCAAATTTATATGCCTCGCCACTAGATGATGATGGGGGTGGTGATGGTTTTTTATCTGAAACATTGTCAATATTTTCCAAGTTTGGTGTTTCAGGGGTATTACCACCCATTCCGAAAATCCATGACATGATTACTGAAATCTAATGAATTTTTTAGTTGAACCTTAAAATCTATTCACTTAAGGTTAAGACGTCACTATGAGTCAATTGTGTCACGATATTTTAAAATAAGTTAATATTTTATATGAAATTAATTAATCCTGACCACCTAAGAAAATATATATACAATATAATCAAAAAGAGGTACCTTTAAGATCAAAATATAATATTGGGTAAATTGAGGAATTATTAAAAAATAAAAAGACCAGAAAAAGACCATAACCTAAAAATGTTTTACATGTTAGCCATCTCAAGAGTATAATATATCTCAATTCATGTTTTATATTCTCTACATACACTTCAATATTAAAATTATCATTATTTTATGTCAGTCAAGCAGAAAATTAACATATTAATATATTATTAATCATTTTATTATAATCTTACAATTTCATTTCATGTCCATACTCCATAAATTGATTATAATGAAAAGTAAATACAAATTTAAAAAAAATTAAATGGATCACAATAATGGATAAAGATTTCCCGATTTTGATAACAACTAAACAACTGATAACAGTGAATCTGATAAGTCTGTGCAAAACACGGACTAAGATATACAGGACTGGACACGACAAGGTTGGAGGGTGTGGGGGGGTTGACTACGAAATGTTTTACAACAGGTAGTGTTCGGGGGGATATTTTCCTTTTAGCATTACTAGCGCCGTCTTAGTGGATACTTTTGGAACTAGATGACAATAATGTGATCTAGTTCCATAAGTATCCACTAAGACGGCGCTAGTAATGCTAAAAGGAAAATATCCCCCCGAACTCCGCCTGTTGTAAAACATTTCGTAACCACAATATTCATCTCGTGTCCAGTCCTGTATATCTTAGTCCGTGATTAACACTGTATGAGGTCGCGTTCTTTTTTGTGGGAGAGAGAAAATATCTTTAAGAATGTTCTCTCTCTTGCATGGGGTACTATTTATGGTTATGTTCAAACTTCAAATAATAATTGCCATTATAATATTTACCATTTTACCCCATATGACCTCAAAATTGATTGTAATCACGGACTAAGATATCTTAGTCCGTGATTGTCATGAACTACTACACAGGACTGGACACTATTGGCAGGAGGAGAGTAGGGGGTCGTCCACAAAGTTGTACATATTCGGTACACATGCGACACAGCGCCATCTGTGAGATAAGAAATATTTTGTTATATAAAATACCGCCTTAGTAGTTCATGCTTAAACTGTTCACTCTTTAAGCAGTAATTATTTTCTGATAATATTCTATAAATAGTATCATTATTATCTTGAACTGTGTTATTAATAATTGTTTTTCAAAAATTAAAAAGTAAATTTATTATCAGTTATTATCACTAATATCACTATTCTTTAGTGTTATCCACGGACTAAGATATAATGGACTGGAAACGACAAGGTGGGCGGGTGACGGGGGACGGCCCGCAAAAGGTGTCTCTGTTATCATCAACACTCATAATCGAATGTTTTCAGCGCTACCAGTGGTTTTATTTTGCGTCACATTTTGTATCTCAGTCCATGTTTTATACAGAGGGCGCTGTAAACTCTCGATTATGGTTGCGACCCCCCGCATTTGCTTCTTGTACATACTTTCGAGGCCACTGATAAGCTGCTCGTTTCCAGTCCATTATATCTTAGTCCGTGGTGTTATCCTATAAAAAACGTAGTTCGTACTACTAACAGGCAGAGTGCAGGTACATCGCATGTGTACGAACCCTGTACAACTTTGTGTCCGTGATTTTCTCTGTAGTGTCCAGTCCTGTGTAGTAGTTCATGGTGAATGGTGATTGTAATACATGAACGCATGATAAGCTTCAATGGCCTATCCATATCTTTATTATCTATGCTTTAGATCACGGACTAAGATATACAGGACTGGACACGACAAGGTTGGAGGGTGTGTGGGGGTTGACTACGAAATGTTTTACAACAGGCAGTGTTCGGGGGGATATTTTCCTTTTAGCATTAGTAGCGCCGTCCTAGTGGATACTTATGGAACTAGAACACATCATACAAATTTCTAGTTCCATAAGTATCCACTAAGACGGCGCTAGTAATGCTAAAAGGAAAATATCCCCCCGAACTCCGCCTGTTGTAAAACATTTCGTAACCACAATATTCATCTCGTGTCCAGTCCTGTATATCTTAGTCCGTGGTGCAAAATAATATCATTGTTCTATGATAATATTATACAAAAAATATTACAAAACAGTTTTAAATGTCTACCGACTACCACTCGGCCATACACTCGGCACTCGTGAGTGGGGACTGGGGACACAATGAGTTATTGTCTCTCAATGTCTATTAGTGATTAGTCTCATAAGTCACAACTATCGTAATTCGTAATGTTAAATGTTCTATAACTATATGACTATATTATGTCATTACTCAACACTCATTAGTCGTTAGTCATTTCACTATTTAGTCGTAACTATTGTCAAATATAATTTGAAATATCGAACTCCCGACTCCCGAGTAAATAATACTATTCAGACGATCGTCGAGGTTCACACGATCTATTTTCTATGCAATCACTGGACATTAAGATGTGTTCACGATATTCTTACGAAGACATTTTTTTTTACCCAATACTATCGAATAATGTTTAAATTAATCATCGAATCCGGTTACCACATGCCATGTATTTAACGTGCGACAGCAATAACAATTATTATTTGGTCTAGTTTATACATAATACCATTCCCGACGTGGTGACTAAAATAGCGGAGTTGTTCGACGGTCGCTAAAATGGTTCGTCATATTTTGTTTGTTTCGTTGAATAATAATAATAAAAATAATTGTTATTGTTAAAATGTTCGAGTTCCTGTTAAAGCCGTCGTAAACAAGTACGTTCTGTTGTTCTGAAATTTGTCATAGGTAATCGTGTTTTCAATAATTGTCCAATGTATCATTTAATGTTTAGAGTTTGAAATGGTATCGGACGATTGTAAGAATCTCTTGTATGACCAAGCGTGCTTACAAGTGTGGGCAGACAATGCTCCGAATGTTTCGTTATGGGTGCAAACCAAAGAATGTTACAAAGTAAGTAAAAAATTAAAAAACTAGGTGTAATATAGTTGATTTTAAAACACGTAATTTTAATGTATCCACCAATCTGTGAAAGTAATTTAATTACATTGTGTTTTAAGTTATAACTTAATACATTGTCATCATATAGGTCAGGTATAATCCATTCTAATCTGTTCATTTCATAACCTTCCAATATGTTATTATGTATTTGCATATTGTTTTTTATTCATTTTTCATGTTCTACTCTAAAATAATTTCTATTAAACAATACATAATAGAAGGGAATATAAAAACTACCTAGCAATAAGCAGTGGAGTGTTAAGTACTTGGTCTTTTGGAAGGTGGATAAAAAAAACATATATATTATACCCAAGGGACTAAGGGAGTAGCTATTGACTACACCGTGTCACCACACACGCCTCCTATTAAACGTTGCAATACATTTGATTTATCTGTGACTATTTAATTGTTATGTATTTGTTGTTAGGTAAATACTAAATATTCTATATAGATAATAATTATTTTGACTAGTTTAAGAGAAAAGAGCTACAGGTTTATTTGAGGGTTTATTTCTATTTGTTGGAAAAAAGAAGTTTACACTAAATAGTACTTAATTAAAAATATAATATAAATTATAATTCCTTATTTTATTTTTTCACTTAAAGTTGTTAAATTTAAAATTGAGATTTGATTGTTATTTTGTTTATTTACTTAAAAGCATATTTAAAATGAAACTATTTTCTAAAAAAATATATAACATTTAAAGATACCTCATTCTATATTGTATTATTTTATACCTGTAACTATTATGTCCATAATTATTTAATAGATACGTATAACTAATTACCTACCAGTTAAACACTTGCCACTTGAGTATTACTAAAAGTTTTATTAGGTAACTAATCCTAATCTTTACACTAGTTATACCTGTGGTTTATTGACTTAATGGTAATTTTAGTTATGCTGTACATTTTGAATGGAATTGCATAATTATTAATTGGTAAGTAATTCAATTGAGCAATTCAAGTCATATTTAATAAGTAATGATAATACGGATTTTTGAGTTAAATGTTTATGAACCTTTTTTGTAAGGACTTTATCACTATATTAATATAACTGTCCCAATTATTTTTTTTTCTAGAAAGTAAGAATATTCAGTTTTTACAAATTATTAACTATTGGTTACTGTGTTATTAGTATTATTATTTTATGATAGGTAATTATGGTGGTTACAATAATTAATTGTTGTTTTATCATTAATATTATGTATTAATATCAATTATAATATGTAGGTTAGGTATATACAATTTACTAAACATAAATGGATCATAATACATTTTAAGCCCATTATTCATTTGTTTATATATATATTAGTCATTTGTTTGATATTATTTAATTATTTTACATCAATATTTTTCTGTAGTGTGATTTATTGAAAAAAGAAAACATATCCAACAACGGAGTTACTAATATCAGATTAAATACAATTTATAGCCTCTGGCTAGATTTAACCAATGACATTAGCCATAATAATTGCAGGTTAGTCATTAATTTTTACTACATTATAATTTGTATTATTCATTGCAATTACTTTAAGGGCCAGTTGTACCGTCTACGGTTACACTTTGATTACGCTTAATCAGCTGATAACAGATTTTATAACCGGGTAAATTCGGCCAATTAAACATCGGTTAACTTTAATCAGAGATGGTACAACTGGCCCTAAAAGATTGACAGTATATTATTAACTATATTCTCTATTTTTAACAGAACACTTCATACTTTTGAAGAACATGGAGTTTATCAATGGAATATTTCAAACAATTTCAATTGTTCTCAAATCAAACAATTATCAACTCCTCAAGATCTATTCATGCGTAAGTTATTCATTTTTATTTTGTAAATTAATTATAATCTAAAAACAACCATAAACTCGTACATTTATTATTATTTTTTTTTTTTTAGCATTTGTCTATGCATTATTACTCATAATACCGTCCTTTGCTGTTTGGTTTTTCATCAATTATCTGCAAAGGACTTATGTTGTGCCATCTGTGTTCCGATTTGCATCAAAAACCGATTTGGATATTGAAAATGTAACTTGAACTTATTTTTAAACTCTTTAGGGTTATATATCTCAAATATTTTGTATGAACTATAAGATGTTTCAGACGGCCCCTAGCCGTGATGTACAAACATTTGATGGTTCTGATGTCGAATTAAAAAATGCGGTTTGATTAAATTTAATAATTTTTAAAAATGCCTTACTAATTGGTATTGGGTAAGATATTAAATTGTTCACATTTGAACATCTCTTTATACTAAACAACTTCTTTATTTAATTTAAATGGTCGTGCCAAATAATATATTAAATTTTGAAATTAAATTCAGATTAACCACTTTCGGATTAAGTAGCTAACAAATACTGTGTTTATACACATTTATTAATACAAATTAGCCCTATTCAAATAACACTTTTGGTTAGTACATACTCAAATTAGGTATGAAACCACGTTACTGAGAATGTGATAATTTTTATTTTAAGCCAAATATTTTATTCCCCGATATAGATAGTATATTAAGTACATTATGGTATAGAATTTTAATTTTGAAATACTCTAAAATATTTATGCGTATTGAGCTATTTATATGCATTTTTTAATCCTGTACTGAGAGTTATTTAGTTTGACAAACCGAACCAAATGTTAAATGCATTAACACTCCTGAATTAACTAATTACAGAATTACTTTAATCTGCATTAACGCTGTATATAAACTGTATATAAATTATATATTATTATTTATTCTGTTCAAGTTAAGGTACGTTGTATGCGATACAGTCAGGAAACTGCTGTTTGTCCCCCCGACCCAATCAATTATCTGTATACCATCTGTGTTGTAGTACCATGCCCCTGCGCACAAGTCGGCCGTCGATTACGTTTCTTAACTTGGAGAGAGTATAGTTTGTAATTTTTTTAGAAATTTCTGAAAATTAATCTGAATTTAATTTCTAAAATGTCTGTACAAAAATATATAAATTAACAGTGTTTGATAATCTATAAGTTTATTTTTTTTATAATTTTAGGATTTTGGAACTGGTTCTAATGAACCGGTTATTATTCATCCTCAAATTCCGACACCAGTCAAAAATAATAGTTATCGTATCACATCGTTAGACACATTTAGAGGGTAATAACTTAAATTTAACATTACAATATTTATGTTTTTTAAATTTAATAATTTAATTTTACATTTAACTGATAAGCAACTATAGTTATTAAGTAAATTGTTGTATCTAAATTTTAAATTAGAAAGATTAAAACTGTATTTTGGTTTTTATGAAAAATAATTTTTAAATTAACTTTAGAGGATAAAATTTGGGTCAATTTCATTTTTTTAGATTTGGACTGTAAATTAAAAAAAATTCAAATTTCATTATTTTACTGAAAAATTACTTAACCCATTAGCGCCGTGCGTTGCCATATGGCAACATAGGTAGACCTATTTTTAGAAGCTAATTTCTCATTGGAAATTTGACCAATAAAAAAATAAAAAAAAAATAAAAAAAAAAAATTTCGGCGCTAATGGGTTAAAATTGAAATTCTTGTATGTAAAATATATTCTAAAACTTAAATATATATAATCACAATTTCTGATTTAGTTGTACTTGGTTATATATATTTTTTTAATTAGTAGTGCTGAGCAGTGGCTTATTTTGGGTATTTAAGTAATTTCAATAGTTGTCACCTTTTGGAAAATTGAGCCTTTTCTCAAGTGGGCATTTTGTCCCCTCTCAATATTAAACAATACACAACATAATTAGTTATTGGTATGATTCTGTTAGTTTGAGTAATACTTAATAACGACATAATGTCACTGATTATAAAATACTAGTCAATTATATCCAAAATATTCAGGATTATACATAATTATAATACCTATATACATTTGAATATAAAAATTATATTATTATCAATTATACATTTTATGCTTAGACATAATCGTGTAACTGCTAGTATTAAAAAGTAATTTAATAATTTAACCTAATGGAATATTTTTGTTTTAGGATATCTATCATATTAATGGTTTTTGTCAATCTAGGAGGTGGACATTATTGGTTCTTTGAACATGCTCCATGGAATGGTATCACATTAGCAGACTTCATATTGCCTTGGTAAAATAAAATCAATTTGTTTATAATTGGTTTATAATTGAAAATGTGTGATTATAAAGTTTGTTTTTTTTGTTAGGTTTTGTTGGGTCATGGGAGTAAGTATAGCCATATCATTGCGATCTCAACTTCGTTCAAGCACCAAAAGAAAATATGTCTTTGGTCGCGTCGTTCGAAGATCAATTGCCCTATTGATCATGGGTTTAGTGCTAAATTCTGTTAACAACAACAATTTAAGCACTTTTAGACCATTGGGTGTATTACAAAGACTAGCATTTATATACTTTATAGCAGCAACATTGGAAACAATTTTTATGAAACCTCAACCCTATTTTACGGTAATTTGTTCAAAATTATTTATTACAAGAAAATTAAAAAAATATTTTTTCTAGAATACAAGATTAGACGTAATCCGAGATATTATTGAAAGTGCCCGGCAATGGTTTATAGTAATTATATTAGTAGCTATTCATACTATCATTACTTTCTTTTTACCTGTACCTGGTTGCCCTAAAGGATACTTGGGACCAGGTGGCCTCTACAATAGTTCTTCAAACATTAACTGTACTGGTGGCGCTGCTGGATACATTGATAGGCTAGTATTTGGCGAAAACCATATGTACTCTGGTACAGCTAAACATGTTTATCAGTCAATACCATTTGACCCTGAAGGTAAGATATATTAAGGGCCAGTTGTACCGTCTATGGTTAAACTACGATTAAGCTTAATCAGCTGATAACAGATATTTAACCGGGCAAATTCAGCCAATTAAACTCCGGTTAACTTTAATCAAAGATAGTACAACTGGCCCTAAGTGTTCAATTAAAAATGTATTCTAAATACCTAATTTACAATTTGTTTTTTTTTAACTTATTCTAGGTATTTTAAGTACTTTGACAAATACTTTACTTGTATATATGGGTGTACATGCTGGTCGCATTATCTTATGTTATCAGTATACAAATGAACGGATCAAACGTTGGATTGCTTGGACTGTAGTACTAGTAAGAATATTATTAACATAACTAAAAGAATATTTAACTATTAAGAAGTTCTAATTTGCATTAACTTTAGGACACTATCGAATAATTAATATTATATTAATAACTGTTCTATCATATTCAATCTATTCAATTATACTGAAATTGTGGAAAAGTATTATAGTTATTTTATTGAGTACTCAAAGTACTCAATAGTTTAAAAAAACTAATATTTATTATGTTCATCAGTCATCACCAGTCAATACATATAATACTATAATACTTTTAATACTATAATTACTATTTCTGGATAAGCACAAAATCTATTTTTTTCAAAGTTTATTTTTAACAAGTTAATGTTTTAGACTTCAAATGCACGTGCAACAGACTTATTCCTAAATTTAGATGCAACATTAATCCGTCTTTGGTACACATATTATGTTCCACCACATGATTGGTACATAACATTAAATCATACCATACTCTTCAGGAACAACAAAAAGCACTTGAATTGCTTATACGCTTATATCATTTTTGTTTATCACTATATTTTGTAAACATGTCATTTGAAGGTATTAATTGTATTAATCGGGTATTATATGAATTTGATAGCATTTATTCGACTGACTTTCGAAATGTTACTTGTGTGAACGCAGCACTCACAAGCTAATGAAGGGTTAATGTTAATTTAGTAATAACTAATAAACTCATTTTTTTTTTAGGCTTACAGGCCATGAAGGCCTTTTGCCGCTTTTACCACGGTCCCCCACAGTTCCCGATCATCCGCATCCTCATTTTTTGTCGTTCCCAAGCTTTCCACATCTTTGTTTACTCTATCGAGCCATCGCTGACGGGCCTTCCTCATGGCCTCTTTCCATGGGGTTTATTGATTAATACTATATGAATTAGCTTATCCTTTGCCCTCCATACATGGCCAGCCCACTCTAGCCTTTTACCTTTTAGACATGCTTGTATGTTTGGTTTATTGAAAATGCTTTCAATGTCCTCATTTTTTCTTCTTTCATAACTTCCTGACTCCGGGTTTAGCATTTAACCATATATCTCCTTAATATTTTCCTCTCGAATATTAGAAGTTTTAGTTCATCGTCTCTTGTTGTCGACCAGGTCTCACAAGTGTACATCACAATAGGGCGTGGGTAAGCTATATACAGCTTCGTTTTAGTTTCTCTTGATAGTAACCTTGATGACAACATGCTTTTCATAATAAACTATAGTAAATACTAAATAGTAAATAATAATAATAGTAAGACAATTTTTATTTATATTTCTATTATTGTTACTGTATCAGTATAAAATTATAAAAATAATAAATTTTGTTGCAATTTTAGGGTCTGATCGGAGGTTGTTTGTGTAATTTTTCCAAAGAAGATGGCTTAATACCAATTAATAAAAATTTGTTCTCTTTGTCTTATGCATTTATTACTGGAAGTTCCGCATTCTTAATATTCATTATACTGTTCTTAATTATTGAACATTGGAGACTTTGGGGTGGATCACCATTTAACGAAATTGGTAAGCATAGAGTATATTATTGTAATAATATTATGTAATTATTAAAATAATCATATTTACCAGGTCAAAATTCAATTATGCTATACCTTGGACACAATATATTTTACAATACACTTCCGTGGAGGTGGCAACCGGTAAATGAGACTTCTCACACGGAATATTTAGTTATGGATTGTTGGGCAACAATATTTTGGTGTGCAATAGCATTAGTGATGCACAAGAAAAATATATTTATTGTAGTGTAATTAATTATTGATAATTAAGTTTTATATTTATATCAATAGCTAAATTATTACTCATAATGACTTAAGAATGTAGCATTTTTATTATTCTAAAACCAATATAGTAAAAACAGTCACATTATCAAATTAGTTTCTAACTATATTATGAATGGATCAAAATATGATTTAAAAACCATTTTCTCTAACCAAAATTGTTTTTAATTTTTTTATTGATTTTCAAATATGGAAAGATACATTTTGATTGTTGACTAAGTTTGAAGAGTTCTAAAAATTGTTGTATATTTAAAGAAAACAAATCGGAGTTCCTTGGTAACTTCCATATTTTAATTATTGTCATCAGTTAAATTTAAATACATATTATTGTACTTAACTATTTTATTTTTGTATCACTACTTTTCTAATGCTTATTGTTAAAATATTAATACTATTTTATACTTATTGTAATAATTTTTTTATTAAAATGTTAACACGTTTTATGTATTTTTCTTATGATGTTTTTTAGATTTTTTTTCTTTATGATATTTAGACTCATTATTATAGTGAGTGTCACTATGCTTTTCCTTTTTATGTCCAATTTCTCCTTTTTTTCCAGACTTATGTTTTGTTTCACCTTTGTTACTGGTTTCTTTGTTTGATTGGCCTCCCTAAAAAAATATTAATCCAAATTAATAAATACTTTCGAAGACAATACAATTATACACCACATACTTTTTTGGTTTTATTTTTCTTGCTTTTCTTATTGCCTAGCAACTTTTTGTCTCCCTTTTTCCCAAACTTCTTAAATGTACCATATGTTTCATAATTGTCCCAAAATTCGTTAACTTTATGTTTTTCATTTTTGTGATAATTATCTCGAAAACCCTGCAGATTAAGTTAAAATACTTGTTACATACATTTATTTTCATATACTATGTACCTACATACTTTTTTTGTTTTAAATTTTTTTTGCTTGTCGCCTTTTTTGTAAGATGCTTCTTTCTTTTTACCTCCGTGTGTATGTACCTCTCCAGCATTGCCTCCTTTATCATTATATTTGCCATCATCTCCCTTTTCTTCTTTGTATTTTGTAGATTTTTCTTCGTTCTTGAGTTTACCGCTTTTGTATTTTTCTGCATCAACTTCTTTTATTCCTCCTATTGATTCATCTGATTTACCATTATTTTTCTTGTAAAAAGTTGATTTTGTATCTAAATTCAAGTTTTATTTAGTTAAAATTTTGAATACACGTGTAAGTATCTAAGAATCTAAATAAATATACAAAAACTGTTTCCAACTAGATACCAACTATTTACAATTATTAAAAACACAAACAATTATATTTGCCCTCCTTCAGTCACATCTTCAAATTCATATGTACCGTACTACTACTACCTAGATATACAAAATTTTTATTCTCAACCATTCTTAATAATTTTAATTTTCATTTATTGTTATGCAGCACACATAATGATTATTCCTAATAGGTACCTACACGATTTAAAATATAGATAATAATTGCTATTTTGTTTCATTGTTCGAATTTAATTGACGAGGTTTATGGATTATGTTGATACGAACTTCCTGTAATATATTAGAATTTTGCTAGACTTGAGACTAGAGTGCCATATTATTTAAGTACGTGGTATGTATTATAATATATAATATACAATATTTATACATAATAATATAGTACCTAGCAGTGGTGCTGAAGTATTTAAAATATAGGTACTACAAGTTTATGACATCGTACATCAAGGCACCCACATCGGCCATCATATCCTCGTTTTTTTAATTTAACAGTCAGATGCAAATCAAATTACCTGCTTAATGCAATGTTTAATTATTTATTTTAGATTCTGAGCTGAACGATGAGTGTATTAATTTAAGATTTTACAATGATGTGCTTTTTTTTTAAATTTTTATTTTGTGTCTGCCATCACGGTTTGAGGTTACTGCATTTTCTTCAACAGTATTTTCAAAAGTGCTGGGAATAACAACATAAAAATAAAGAAAAAAACGGGAATTTTTACACAAAATCGGTTTTTCGACAAAATCGATTGTGGTTTTTGGGTTAGCTCCAAAAGAAATGAACGTATATACATGAATTTTTCACTGGTTGTTTATATTTACATTTTCTATGCACGATCAATTTTTAATTTGTTTTGAACTGTTAAGGGACATTTTCAGTTTTCAATTTTATTAGTTTTTTTTTCTATGAATGTCTATAAAACGTTATTTGTTGGGTAAAAATCTTAAAAATGTAATACAAAGCTTCTACTACCTAATTACTATATTGTTACAATGACATTTTAAAAATATTAAAAATTCTTAGTCACCGTTTCTTTTTATAAGCAATTAAAGTTCAAATCTCGACAAAATATGGAACAATCACAAAAATGTGAAAATTATTTTGAGTTAGAAATTCATAAAAAATTTTTATTTTGTTGTATATAATTCAAAAACGAATAACCGTAAACTTTGTAAATTTATATTATAATATAGAAATTCGCTTGACTAAACCGGGGTGAAAAATACTGCACCGGGATGTTTGGACCATATCATTTACATGGTTCATTATCCCGGTGCGGGATAATGTGGGATAATTTTAAACCGGTTTAGTCTAGCGAATTTCTAGCTTATGTTAGGTAATTTAATATTTTATCAATTCCTATATATTGATAACATTTTCAAAATATTTTGACTTGTTTTGATCTTTTTACGGACAATTTCAAATTTCAATTTTTTTAGTTTTTTTTCTATAATTACTAATAAAATTTTATATGTCGGACCAAAAAGCTTGAAAATTTAATAGGTAGGTACAAGGCTCCTCCTGATATATTGTTACAATAGCGGTTGAAAAACATTTAAAATACCTACATAGCCACAATTTGTTTTTACAAGCATTTAAAGTTCGAATTTTTACAAAATGTATCAAATTTAAAATGTAATAATTATTTTGTAGGTAGTTAAAATGTATAAAATGTTCAACTTTTATACCTAAAGATTGAAAATTTAAAACAAGATTCCACGTAAATAGGTTATATACTATTATATATAAATTACTTTTCAAAATAATATCATCAAATAAACTTTGGCAATTTCATAGGCTGACTGACCGTTTTCGCTCACCAAATTTAACACCATGCATTACAGTGACCCACTTGTAACCTACTGTACAGCAGAGCGACATCCACTTACCCACCCTTTTAATCGTTTTTTTTTATGTATTTATGGGATGTAAATTATGGTAGATAATTATTGAATTTTCAATCAGAATTCAGTGGTGTATTTACGGGGGTGGGGATTAAAGGGATTAACCTCCCCTTCCCATAGGTTGTATATAATATGAAAAATTGATCGGAGTCCTTACTTAAAGCTCCTTACTCTAGCTTTAAAAGTGTGGCTACTGGATAAAACGATATCTCCCCGCTAACCATGACAGAAACCTTAAATACGCCACTGTCAAAATTGGGTGGTGAATATTTATTTTTATTATTTTTATACTATTCTATTGTTCAGTATGATGATGCGAATATAAGGTACCATCATGTACGATTATTCATAAATAAACATATCATTGGGCAAACGATAATCGGCTGCTGGATGCTCAAATTATGTTTAGGCAGTTTGGCACAGATAAATAGAAGTCCAGACTACGCAAACACGCAAACAATAACCAGAGCTAACCTGTGAGCTGTAAGGTAAAAAAATGGTATTTTTTTTTACATAAATTGTCACCTGTCCAATAAGCATAATAACTGTCTGATGTTTTCATTCTTCTTTCAGGGGGGGGGGCTAACATTATTAACATTAATGTGAGTGGGGGGCTTTGATCCTACAAAAGTAAAAAAGGAGGGGGCTTGATGGATTTTTGAGTGGCTAAGCACTTCAAGCCCCCCCCCCAAATTTACCTCAATGTCTATACCCTACGAACATGGGAATAACTAGATGAGGCCTTTGGAGTTTGGGCGCTAATAAGCGCCCCCAAATATTTTTGTATGTACCTCACTACCTTCTCCATGTTTGTTTTGGAAAATAAGTCACTGTAATTAATGTTCTTTGAATGAGGCAAAAAATTGGCTAAGGATAGCCAAGTATGCCGAGTAATGAGTAAGCTGCAAATTGCAGTAGGTACTGTTTTTAAAATTTGGCTGTTTTCAATATTGAAAGAAATTTTGTTAATTTATTAAAGAATGATTATATAGGTTGGACAATTGGACATCTAGGGCATGCTAGGTATAGGTTTAATGGACGAACAATTTTGTACCAATTGGCAATTATTATAGCAGGTATTGTACAATTTAAATGTTATGATTAAAATAAATATTATAACATAGGTAGGTACCTCCTCGTGACTACTTAATATTATATAAATGTGAATGTTGTAATTTATAAATGTAGCTAATTAGGTATATTTATTATAAGCCACTTACAATAACTAATTAACTAAATATAATATCCTATGCTACAGAAATATAAATTTAAATTAAATAAACTCAGTGGAAGGATGTAAGGAAAATTTTCAAAAAGATTAACAATAAGAAAATTAACACCCCTAAGCCCCAGCCTCCAATTTATTTCTAGTTGTGTCCAGGACCTATATCGGGCTGTATGTATAAGGTATATAGGTATCATAATTCATAATTATTACTTATGTGTCATGGTTTTTATTTGCGGTAAATGTCGCATGTACATTCGCATTATTGACTATTGTATACCTACTTCACTTAAAATGACCTATTATTGTTGTATGCTTTATGTAATACCTATGCGTAGGTAAAATGTTCAAAAGTAAACCAAAGTTACGCGTGCAAAAACATTACCCAGTGCACTCGGTACCTATGTAAGTACATTACGCAAGGAAATTGCGTATTATTTTTACAATTATTTAGATAATATTATATACACTTATGAATAAATCGATGTGTGGGTACACCTACTTTTCGACGACGGCGACACCCAAGGGTCGATCAGAACGAAATGTTGCGGGTAATATCCACTAGAATAATTGGGCAGTTGCAGTGCAGCGCGTTCCGTTCCGGTGCATTCCGCGACCGCTGCTATTAACATTAGCTATACACATAAATGTATAAAAAAAAAAACAAAACACAAAATGATTGGCAGGATTATCGATTTATTGACGCGTGTCTTTCATAACAGGTAGGTGGTATTATACGGCTTAATACATTTTCTTAATAATTATTAGGAGGTAATATCTACAATACATTCGGGTTCAGTACACCGAGAACCTACTGACCTAGGTATGGGTAGGTCGTGGGTGCCAACATCAATTTATATTATCAATTAGTAATTACCTATGAAAGTAATAGGCGCACACAAATTATTATTAGAAAAATCATCGGCTGCCTCCTGTATAAAAAGTTAAAATGGTTTTGATTTAATTTCAAAGTTGGCGGTATCTTCATGGATAGGTAGGTGTACTCCTTATAAATGCTTAAAAAAGTCTATATAGTTTCAAATATGATTTATAAGCGGTATTATAGGTTGTTAATAGTACATTCCTCACACTACTCAGAATCCAAAAAAGTCTGAATTGGAATAGATAGATAATATGTAGTCAAAATAAGAAGTGGTTTTTTTTGGGGGGGTGGTGGTAGCTATTGCTTAGCCTCTTCTAAATAATTTCAAATGTTGATGAATAGTATAGCACATAATATTGGAACACTTTGTAATTATTTTAAATTATTTATAAATATATTATATTTACCTAATTATATTTTCAAGTAAATAGTTCTTATATATAATATATATAAGAGCCATATATCCGGGATATAAGAACAATTTATTTTATATTTAATAAAATTAAAAAGTTTAGCATACTTTTTATTTTTTTCCGTTATAGAAATAAGATATATTTATGTTTGGTAGTAGTGGTAGTACCATTGAGTATAGATAATACTCACCTGATAATACCTAATAGGTACCTATATATAACTTTATATTATACATAACTTGATAACGGGAATAAATTATGTACCTACTAAGGTTTAAGGAGCTGCAATGGTTGTCATTATACAGATAACAATATGATGAAAAAGTAAAATAAACTTTATTATTGATATTATGACATCTAAACTCTGTGAGATTTTCTCAATATTGGTATACGGTATACCTTAATATAATATAGTACCTAGGTACTTAAGTCTATTTCGGACTGCAACCTCAATATTCAGGCTGTGGTTCTCGACTCTCGTATTCGAAAGGTTATAGGTAAATAAATTATTAGGTATATTAAGCGATCGCTTCAGCTCACGCGCTATATCGTCGATGCTGGATAAAATATGGTACCTACCTACCTAGCGGGTAGGTAGCATAATTTATATACACTTATTATAATATTATATTTTATAGGTAAAGTGCCGGTGTCACGTATACACGTCGATGGACTTACCCATACGAAACGAACGTCACACACTTTCACGGCGGCGGAGTTTCGGTACGATGTTGCGAAGTCCATAATATTATCTCCGCCTAGGTAGATATATAGTTTAACTGGTACCTTTATGCAATATTATAGTCTTGCAGCTACAGAAGTCCGTGCCGCTGATCAGTTGGGTTTCGATTTCACCAAGAACGCAATTTCTTGCCGCCGTCTTCGTCTTCGCCTTCGTCGTCGTCGTCGTGTCGACTACCGCTGCGGGGACGCGAACGATGTCCGGTCATCTAAACGGTTTGGTTAACACTGTCATACCGGCAACGGTGGTATAACTCGGTAACAAAAAACGAAAAGTAAAAGAAAACAATTATAATAATAAAAAAAAAAATAGTGCCCGCGCGGTGGGTACCTATAGGTATGTATTGTGTATCGCGAAGCCAGGAAGAGAGGTTATGATATCGGTCGGTGGTTACACAATAACGGCGACGTCGCCGTCCGTTGAATTAGCCTAGATTTGGTTCTCGTTTCACGTCCCTATACGCGTATAATACTATATAATAGTCGTCGTGCCGCCGACAGTAATATATTTATATATTATGTAGATATATATTATGCCTATGTATAGGTTCGAATGTAAGATAATAAAAAAAAAAGAAACAGGCGCAATCCTGCGGTAAACGCATAAAAAAAATAATATCGTCTCGACGGAACGCGTCCCATTAATTGTAAGGTATTACCCTCGTACAGCTATATTATAATTGGTGTATTTAGGTGGGTGCCACCTATATACATTAAACGAGCTGCGGTCCGCACTCCGCAGTAATACGTCTTTAACTCGGAGAAACGACGCTTTGCCAACCTGTGTTCTGTCTATATAGTATATTATAATATTATTATAACAATTACCATATTATGTTGGTATATATTTGCTTATTGTGTATATAGGTACTTCGTTTACGCTGTGACCTTGCGCTAACGCGTAAATGCATACAATAATATTAAATACGCATATACATCTACGTATATTATGTATTGTATAGTAGCGAATCACATTACATTACGCCAGTCTGATGCCCGCTCTTATAACCCTCTCCGCCAAGCACCCGAAATATTCACATTAAGTATCGCATAATACACCCGTCGTGTAACACCGTACACGACACCAAGTCGGGTAGGTAGGTATAGGTGCCTAACATAAATGATAATAAACGCTGTATTTAGGTGTAAAAACTAAAAACGTGTATAACTACGTCCTACATATCATTATGTTATATGTGTATACATCGTAAACGTGTCTTGTTGTCCAATCGTCATTGCGACACCATCACGTGCACGATTATTGTTCGGCGGGAAGCCTTGGTCGCCGTGAAAACGGCGTGTCGATTAAAAACTCTCTACGCGTCCGTTCGAAATCCAAGGGCTCTCCTCGTCTTATTTCGAGTTCGCAAAACCCTCGGATTCGTTATACGCGTGCACACCGAGGCGCCTGCTTCACTCGTAGACGTGTATACGAAAGCGGCACAATTTCATCACTCTCTTCTCGGTGGGTATAAGAGAAAAAAAAACGATTTTATTATCCCGGACAATAATGATTTGCCCTCGTATGCGTGTTTTATAACAATATCAACCTTACCATAATATTATTATCATACGACCTAACTAGAGTCGGAAACCATATTAACCAACTATACCTATACATTATACCTACGCGTCATTGGTATACGGTTGGATTGTTGAATTGGAATCGTATATTCAATATTGTATAGGTATATGTATCGAGAGTGTATCTTCTGTTATAACTTAGAGTCTTGGCACACTCAAGAAATACATGCGCATTTTTAAGCTTACATTTAGGGAGGCGTGGGTTTTCGCAGTGAAATTATAATATAATTATATGGACAACGATGATTACATTTTCTGAATCACAAGTCACAACGTAATAATATTATACTATAGATATGCAGACCTACATGCTACAGTGCTGGGTGATTCTTTTATCAAACAACACTCATTATTTCAAAAAGTGTAAATTTTTATGAAAATATTTGTTTACATGGTTACAAGTTGCTTATAAAACAACGTTTTCATTAAACAATTTTATTCTTAAATATTTTTTATCCTTATTTTTTAAGTTTTTTACTTTTTTGAATGACAACATAAGGTTTTAATTTTATATTCCAAAGCAGAATATTTTTCTTAGTATTTTGATACATGAAAATCGAATTGGCAGAATAGTTTACGAGTTATATATATTTAAAGTGGACAAACATTTCGCGGGGTAATTCTGAACCACTCCACTCCGCTCATCGTCTATACTTTAAATACTTATAAGTTATAACTCATAAACTACTCTGCCCAAATTCAATTTTCATGTATCAAAATACTAATAAAAATATTCTGCTTTGGAAAATAAAATTAAAACCCTATGTTGTCGTTCAGAAAAGTAAAAAAACATAAAAAATTATAAGGATAAAAAATATTTAAAAGTATAATTTTTTTATAAAAACGTTGTTTTATAAGCAACTTGAAAGTATAAAAAGAAAATTTTTCAAAAAAATTTACACTTTTTGAAATATTGAGTGTTGTTTGATAAAAGAATCACCCTGTATAGTATATAATAATAATATTATACATGAGTGTCCAGAGAAGCCGATTCTACAGCCGAGAACAAAAATAAATTACGTTCAAATCTCCACGATTGGACGAGATTGAAATTTAAATGTTGCTGTTAAATGGGTAATATAGCTTTTATTTCAGTATTATATTGTAAGTTGTACACGTCTGATACGTTAGGGTAATAATATAACAATAATTCCTGTTTTTAAGTAGATTAATCTCTGAAGGAGTTCTGAAAAAGTGTATGTATTTATCTACCTATTAGAATTTAAGGCCGGAGAATAACATTAATAAATACTCCAATACAGGTTTTTGTAACATAAATATGTAGGTAATATGTTTTTGGACTGTATACAAAATTTTTTTGTTTTTGACCAATTTTTCGTAAGGTTTTTATTGTTATGGTTATTGGATAACCTTATTAACAAAAACATATATTTTATGATTCATAGATTTTACTTAAAGAGGAAAAATATCGAGTATAGAGTGCCATATTTTTTTATTTTGTCGCTTCTTAAAAGAAAATTAAAAATTAATTTTAAATAGTAGGTAGCTACCTATAGTAGCAATTGTGAAACAAATAAGAGAATTAAATAAATAATACCTATTATAACTACCAGCAAAACTATACAACACATAAAAATATTGATTAGGTACATTTTAATCTTTATTGTAATAAATTTACAATCACCTTTATCCGGAATCCTAATGAATCATTTTGTTGGGCGCATAATATACACGTGCTTTTGTATTGACTGTTAGTGAATCATTGTCAGAATAATCAAATTAATCTTCTCATTATTATTTCTTTACAAGATCAGCACTAAAACAGCTAAAGCTGAAATAGATCAATAGATCATTAGTAGTCACTGGTTTAACATACTACAATACCATGTTTATGATTATTACTTATTCGTTTATTATGCTAGTATATGTCATGTACACAATTACCTACCTTTTACCATTGATGATAGTTGACATGTTATGTAGGCACAGCTTATTCCGTTTCTATGACTCTTTCTATAGATTTTTTTTTTTATTTCAATAACGGATTGGTTTTTCTTGGAATTATCAAGATCTTTGTAAATTTCAACATTATTATGTAGTATTTGCTTTTACAATCGCTGTTAAAAATACTTCCGCATTTTGTACATTCGATTTTAATGTTTTTTTTTTTAGATTCTTAGCGGAGAGCCGAGCGCTGAATGTATGGATTTTACGTTGATAATAATGTGTGTATTTTTTTTTTTATACTCATTTCTATTTCAAAGTTACATCAAATAAAGGATATTAAACAAAAAATAATGATTTTTAATTAAAAAATATTATGGATTGTCTTGAAAATATTTACCATTACTTGTATATTATACGTTTATCAGTACCTACCTAGTTACTCAATTCAATATGGTTTTAAATTTAAATTTACGTTTTCAATATTATTATAAATACCTAGGTGTACCTACATTGTATTAATTTCAAATTAAAAGAAAAAACTCATTGACAATAGAATTGAAATAAATGATTTTGTGAGAACACTTATAAGTAGACAAGTAGTTGATTAAGTAGACAAATTTAAACGTAATATCATAATATTGTATAATGTATTTTTTTTTTATTAATTAACCCTCGGTAACTGTGGGGGAGGGTACTGTAGGTTTAACACGTGTGTTTGTTAGTTTGGCAGATTTTTTAGTGGGCACCCGTAAGTATCTGCCATGTCCAGGTGGGGGATAGCGGCACTTCTCTCCGGACACTGTGACTTGCCCAAAGAAAAATGCTGCCCTCGGCCGAGGTTTTGAACCGGCGTTGGTGCGCTTCGCAACCGACGCCTTAGTGCGCTCGGCCACTCCGTCCCCGTATAATGTATTGTTGGGCTACCGTCCGACCACCATTGATCGCATCCACAGTATCCACTTAAACATAACTTTAAAACTCTTAGGATCTATCTGATATGCAAAAACGACTATACATACGACTATACAACAGCACTACTATTAAAATGTATTACCATAACAATATAAGAACACCATTTAGTCACTATTGAAAATTTTAATAGGTAGGTATGCGATGATTTATAATAATTATTGTGGAAATTTCTATTGAAACAGATAGGACGATTGCCAAAATTGATTAGGAATTATTAGAGTACCTATTAGATATTGTGATATTGTACCCATATGTCTGGTCTCTGTCTTATAAACGTAAGTACCTACTTACCTATAAGACATACAAAATATGTGTTCAGCAGTGCGAAGTTCCAACTTCCAAGTGTTGTTAGGGTAAATTTACCCTATTTACTCTTGTCTCTATATAACCAAAGTTAATGGTTAGAACATAATTAATTGTGTTTGTACTTACGGTGTATTCGGTTTTTTGCATTTTTAAGTAAGTGATAACTCTATGAGTAGGTATGTAAATTATTATTTTAATTATTAAATGAAACAATTTTTAATTTTGATTAACTGTATAACTTATAACTCTTATAATATAACTTTTACTTAATCACTAGGATTTTAATAAAAATGCACTTGCGTTTAAATAAAGTATTCTTTTGACATGCATTTTTCAAAATCGACCAAGTACATTTGTGCTAAGTATGATTAGGTTATAGTTTATAAATTATGAGTTCAAATTCAGTAATCAACAGTAAAATAAATAAGAAAATACTAAATAGTGAAATTTATTTTCTATGTGTTATCGTTATGATTAAATAGAAAAAGGAAAAGCCGTATATTATACCATTATTATAAAACCAATAGTATAATAATTATGCTTAGACAACTAAACCTGACCTAATCAAGACTCCAGTGTCTTATGATAGTGCGTCACACGTTAACTATATATAGGTACAACACTTCCATCGAGAAAATGTTTGATCATGCAACTGAACTGTAGCCGAATGCATTTTTCAGTTGCGCCGATATTAGGTACCTAATAACTGGATTGTTTGTTTTGTTTAGTTTTTTTTCTTATTATTATTACGTTCTCCTCGTTAATTTCATTTATAATTTATTCATCTGGCAATAAAAACCAACGGTATGATTTTCACGGTTTAACGATTGGACGTGGTCTGTTGGATGCGAAACAGCGAACGAATAATGCACGAAACACGCTCTGAGTGGGAGGCGCCACCTCGTGATTCTCAAATACACCCAAACGCCATCGGCTCGCCGCGTTAGGTGTTAATGCGATTCTTGCGGACGACGTGTGCGCGCACTTGACTGCATGTCCATCCAGATCACTGCCGAGCTGAGCGTGTCCTAACGCCATGATCGCCGTACACATCACATGTCAGGTAATATTGTATTATGTTGACTTAAATTAGGGGTGGGCATCCCGTAGCCCTCAGAAATTTTATGTGGCTCGAGCTAAAATTTATAATTTACTGATAATGAACACTTAAAAATTGACATTTAGTACATCAAATCCACGAGCTAAGATATTGTCTGCTGGAAACAATGGATTGAAACGTTATTTGTTTATAGATACCATATAGTTAATATATACCTTACAATAAAATTATGAACATAAATAGGTAAACTAAATTTGATTTAATCATACATTTTTGTTTAAGATAAAACAATTAGGTAGGTATATTCAAACTGGGGCCCTTGAAAAATGTATGTTTATTTTTGGCCCTCGACATCAAAAAGGTTGCTGACTCCCGACATAAATTATTAATTGTTATTTTTACGCTCTTATAGACCCCCACGGTATTGCGGGCTTTCCGATCTCTTTTATTATTGTTATAAAATATTGGAATAATAATTATTATCATAATGCCTTGTGTCTTTTACGGTATCTCATTGATTTTTCAACGTTTCACCCACCACGTTGTAAATCGTACCAGCTATATAGGTATATACTATTACGAACAACGATATAGCTGTAGGATACTAGGATACATAAATAATGGCAGATATTCTACAATATAGCTCTGAATAATGTCTTCGGTCCGTTTGACAAACGTAGAATTATTAACTACCATATACAGGCTCCATGACATCAATATATTTTATACATATATTACATAATATAACGATGTAATATGCTATTTGCCGTGTTACGAAGATATAGTTTTATTTTTCGTACGAGTATAATATATAATAATGTAATAATATGACCTCTAGATATCCGTGAATAATCTTTGAGTAGATTTTTTAATGAATTATAGAAAAAAATGTGTATAATATTATATATGGTTTTTACATTTTCCGATGAATGATTGTTTTAGTAGGCGGATTTATGCATATTTAATATATTTACACGTAGAGGTATTATGCGCGTTACACAATTATAAAAAAAATCTTGTATTTTATTACGACAGAACTGATGAAGCGTGTAATTCATTGACCTCTTTTAATGCTTTAATGGTCGATTTAATACCGAATAATGGCATACAATCAAACAATAAATGTAAACAGTGGTTAGTCATAAGATTCTGTATTATATATGAAGGTATACCTACTATTTGAAGAACCGTTCTCAATTTAAGTTTTTTCCATAGGTGTTTCAAGCGGCCACTATAGGCATTTTTTTGACATTGAACACTATTGTACCAGTTAAATCATCAAAGCCGGATGCCAACTATAAACTTGAAAAGACATTCGAAAGCATCCGTTCATCTATTGATTCAAAAGTTGCTGAAAATGGTCATTTTAAATCATTTTTACCTCCAGATGAAATGAGAAAATCGAATACCGATTTTTCTCAATTACAGGAAGACGTTGATAAACAGATGTCTGGTATAGATTTTAATTTCGATCAGAACGATTATGACAAATTCCATTTGCCTCAACAACGACCTGCAAAACCTAAATTTGTACTGAACTATGAACCATTAAGACCTTCAAATTATATATCAGCACCATCTACGCGTTATACAGATTATCCATTTAGTATACCAGAACATCAAGATGATGGAGGTGATGGTGGAGATGGCGATGATGGTGGAGACGATGGTGGTGGTGGCGGCGGCGGAGGCGGTGGGAATGGCGGGGGTGGTGGTAATGGAGGAGGGGGCGGAGGTGGTAGTGGAGGGGGAGGTGGGGGTGGAAATGGCGGAGGCGGTGGAGGAGGAAATGGTGGAGGTGGGAATGGCGGCCTTGGAGATGGTAATGATGGACGATTTATAGAACAGCAATCTTTTGAGCAAGATTACGATAACTTTGAACCCCACAACGGTTGGAGACCTATTCATAATAAAATACAAGGATCGGATATATTAGAGGACCAGTTTAGGATAAGGCCTTCAGTGAAGAAGGTCCCCGGTTACGGCTCGAATCGAGTACCAGTAACTTCTAATAGTTACCAGAAACCATACAAGCAACGACCAGTGTATAAAAAAAAGCAGCCTCAGCGATTTGATGACGATCCATATACACGAAGATTAGTTGAAAATAAACGACCTTTAAAGGTGTTCGATGATGATGATGATGATGTACAACCATTAAAGACTCGAGGAAATATCAGAAAACCTTTAAGGTTAAATGGAGAAAAAGGGCGATTATCATTTAATAATATACGCAATAATAAACCAGCCGCTGTTATTGACGAAGACATTGAAGATGCTGATGAACCTAGGCCATTACAATCAAGACGGTTTCCAACTAAAAAGCGACAAGTGTGCCAGAAAATGAAAAAATCTATGACACCAAACGATATTGAGGATCATGACATTATAGGAAGAAAAATGTCATGCATGGTGTGTAAAGACTTAACTTCAGGTGGTTCATATGAAAAATGCTCATACACGTCAGACCCCATATCTGATGAATATTTTAAAGAACCAGAAGAATTGAATAAATTTAAAATAAATAGATTTAAACGCAGAGTTGTGTATGACAGAAAACGAAAGCAACCCGAAAGTGGCGAAGAAGTAGAAGACTATGAATATGACAATGTCAATGCTCAAGAATCTGAAGAAGATCCAGAGTATGTTCAAAATGCAGATGCCGTAGCCGATTATGATAGTGAAGATCCAGAGAATTACGAAACGGCTGAAAACGAAAGTGAAGAATATAGATTACCACCATTGCCGACAAAATCTTCTACCTGTCGTAAAGTAATGAAAGAAGGGAATGTATGTAACGTATGCCAAGATAATTTGACAAATAGACAGTATGAACAATGTGAATATGAAGATGATCCAAAAAAGAACGCCTATGAGTATTCCACACGTAATGTGTACGGTAAGCCTAGGTACAAAAGACAATTAGACAGTGACCGAACTTACGACGATTACTTTAAAAAGCTGTTCCCGGAGCTGGGTTCAAACCGGAAGAGTAGTATAGCCACTAAGTTTTCGTCTAAAGATGGAGACTTTGGATTTTTAGACAACGGGCAAATCGGTTTTAAGAAAACAAAATCCTTGTTGCTCGGTGATAAAGATTTATCAATTGATTTCAATTCAGGCGAAGAAAGCCCAGTGAACAAGATGTTGGGTGATTTCCGTAACAAAGATCGGTCTAACTGCAAGAAATCTCTTAAAGATAAGATGACGTGTTACAAGTGTAAGGATGATACGGGTTCGGAGACAGAGGAATGCATGTACATTACAGATAGCGCTCCGAAAGATAGGAAACAGTCTTATCACGAAACGAAAAAATTCAACTCCAGCCCAGAGGTGGTAAAATCTACTTCAGATGCGAACAAATCAAATGAGAATCACAAGCAACAGCAGCCTGCCTCGTCATCGCTGACACACGTCTATGCTCCGCTGTTTGGGTCCAGTTACGAGCCAACGGCACAGTACTCGCACATTCGGCCGCAGTACAAGAACAGAAATTACAGACTTCGCAGGAAACCGGTGACCGAAGAACTCGCCGAGTCCACTGAGGATGATGATCAGTCGGAGGCGCAAAGCGTAGAGGAGTACGACTACGCGGACGATCCGAGTAGCAAACAGGTATCTAGACACGACTTGCCCGACGTAGATCCGTTTGGGCCAGAGGGAGCGTACAGCGAGGAAACACTGCCGGTTTATGACCCGACATTAAGAACTTGGCTACCAAGGTATATGGTAGTTAAGTCTTCAGAAGAAGCAATGGTTGACGCAGAACTAGGGTTCGATTAAAACGAAAACACGACGTAGGTACCTAAATGCAACTTACTTACAGTATTTTACGTTCAAGGTGTTATCAAACAAAAATTTAATATATTATACATCTATTTATGAGTCAGAATATTATACTTATTATATATACTGGTGGTATGATAAGGGAATTAATTAATGGATTATTATTATTATTGTTGTTGTTATTGTGTTATTGTTGTTATTATTATAAATTTGTATATTGTATTTCTATACTATTATTCATGTGTGCAATAATATTTATGTACCTTTATTATATGTGTTATATATTATTTGATTATCATACTAATAATATAATTTGTAACTTATTTTGTTAATTATGTTGTTTTAAATTAATATGTATCAAACAAAATATATTATGTTGTAGAATATATGAAATTTTCTTTTATACATTATTATTAGCTGTAATATCCAACTTTGCCCGTAAACAATTGACAAGTATTTAATATGTCTATCAGTGTATTTTGGTTTTAGAGTACTTACCTCAGTTCCTGGGCACGTCAGTGTCAGTGGTGTATGTACTTCGCTTTGTGGACTTTCAGACCAAGGAGGCAATCCACCTGAGGCGGATTGCATATAACCACTAACCAGTGGAGTGGTGATAGGGGTAATCGAGAGTTTCTGAATTTCTTTTGGGGTGTTTGTGTGATGGCCAATTGGCAAATGACAGTGAACGCCTTCATCAGTGCTGCATGAAATATTAAACTAGCTTCTTAAAAATTTCAAGTTCGCCACGCCACTGAATACACAAAGCTTGTTGTATTTTGGTTTAAGTACAATGCCTTTAACACTATGATCTAATCGGGTTAGACACATCTCCGCACACGATTAAATTAATTTTTTTAAATTCCGGCACTTGTTATTATTTATAGGTACCTAGTAACTTACAAAGCTTGTAATCAATAAACATATTATATAAAAAATGTTTGTTCAGCTATCGGACGTAGTTCAAAATAATATACAAACTTAATCTCTATATCTTTCCAATATCTCTAAGAGCGATCTCCTGAAATAGTCTATAATATTTGAGTAAAAAATTGCCTTTTATGTAGAATGTAGTTATATTATTAGCTTAAAACTACGAAAAACTACAGTGCCAAATTTACTTATGCTTATCAATTCATTATAATAATTCATTAAGATCCGTAGGCGTTTTAGACAAGTTTACAAGAAAGATACAAAATATGAATAAATATAATAATATTATATTATGCATATTATGCACTATACAGGTTTATAATATATTATAATTAATGGTCAGGAATATATAAACATTATCTATTCATTGTTCCTAATAAACAGCTAATAACTATACATATTTTTGATGGGTTTTGAAATGTCTTTTAAAGTACAATAACAAAAATATGTATTATGTGTTGTAAGACTCAAGTTTAAAACTTGTCTAGAATGTGAGATACGTAGATCAGAAGTTGTTGATGAATGATGGGCCACTGAGGCCGGTGCGGCCGGTGTGTCGAAATTTGAGAGAAATATTAAATCTTCGCATTTGTAAAAATGACACTGAGTAGAGTTAGGTTTACTATTCTAGTTTATTTATCTTTTAATTATTTGTAACTTATTAAATACCTACCTTTATGTGTATAATATTCTATATGATAATCTTACAACATTATAATTAACGATTGAATAATTAAATAAACTTAAGCTGAATATTATGAAAGAAAGCTGATAAAAATATTTTATTTTTTTTTGTAATATATTATTATAATAATTGTAATATTGAAACATGTATTTACCTCAGTAAAAATAATGATATCTAAACCCGTTAGAATAATTATGATTTCCTTGATTAAATTCTTTGAATTCTTCATATGACCAATTTTATAAACCATGTAATAAATTACTGTGCCATAATGTTTGTATTATAGGCAAACGAAAATACGATATTGAAATAGTGCATAGATCAATAATTATTTACATACAATTAGGTTTATTTTCTTCAGATATATTTTGAAATAAAGTCAAAAATTATTAATCGTTTTTATCTTAAAAATCCTTATTATTTATAAAAACAATTGCCTAGGTATCACTAAATGGTCAAAGTATAAACTATCAATCGATTATGATAAAATGTTTGACTAATAACTTTTGAAATAAATGTTTGAGCTAGTTAAATTAGTCAGAAAAATTATTACTTGTTTGTTAAAATTATTTTATTGAGTTTAAAATGTGTATAAAATTGAAATTTTTAGTAATAGGTAAGTAATAACTATTTTCTCAATATCAATATCTCATATAATTGTTTCATAGTTATTGTCACTCATTTCTGATAAATGATTGGAAAAATTTGTTAGTTTGCAGTGTTGGCATTGCCTGTGTTAATGTTTAATGAATTGACTGCCCAGAGTGTGATACACAAATCTTATGGTAGGCACCTACTTATTCTTATCATCCAGAAATGGGGTCACTAATTTAAATAAATAAAAAACACATTATTCCAAAACCAATATATTAATATATTATGCATTCCTCAATCCTCACTTTGTTCTGAATATGTAAATTATATTTTACATCCGACTGCCGTGTTAAAAATATTATTACGAATCGTGTTATACCCATATTGTAAATAATATATTTAATTAATCACTAATAATTATGTCCTATTACAATATATTACAGAAATTATGTCTGAAATGCCCTTTTGTTTGTTTTTAAACAGTATTTATAGATAACATCTACATTAATATACATAAAGGCAATACACAAGCATTTTAGTCCTGGATTGATGTTATAGTTTCTCGTCATTAAAATAAACCAAATTTATTACTACCATGCAAAGTACAGTCTCATGCAGGCGATGTAATGTAAGGTACCTTCCTACATTTATAGTTCTCTTTCGATTCTCAGAGAGAAAATTTAAAAAAAAATTGCAGGTACCTGTGTCACTTAATGTTTATAATATTTATGTAAGCGTGATATTTTTATAAGTTTTATTTTATGTTCATGTGACTAAATCGTACATATTTACATATTTTGCAGCTTTCATATAGAATACCGACGTGTGAATAAAGACTAAACGAAAATGACTTATTATTTCAAATCAATATTTTAATAATATTATTATATATTTATATTATGATTAGGTAATGATTACTGATGTGAGACGATAATACAATATATAGTTACTTAGGTACATTGATATTTAATACCAAATTATTGTAGCTATTTACAACTTATAAATTTAGCTGAGAATATATTTTAATGTATCAGCGATAAACCGATTATTTCGGATAGTGTTGTTATTTTTGTTTTAAGTATTTATAGGATTCACTACTATGACAATAACAAAATGCGTTACAGTACATAATTATGTCAAGTCATCAAAATTTGAATTACTATGGCCGTCTGCAACCAGACCCAAATATCTATACACTGGTAATATTGTATAGGTAATCAATTACGTCACGTCTGTAAAATATGTTAATGTTTATCGTTCTGTTGACCGTTGTATTATTATAATATTTAGCAAATATTATGACACAAACTCTCGAATATACCCGATGAGACATCGCTAACGCAAGACGTTGCATTTTTTATTTTTCAGCCGACCAAAGTCTTGTTTCGAGCTAATTCTCAGTAATAGTACTATAATAATTATATTCTAGGCACGTGAAAACACATACTTATACGACTTCTCTCAAACAAGGTTATATTGTTCATATTGTTATACTATTCATCTGACTTCCATACATTTCTTTCACTCTTTTACTACAACTGCACTGTGTGGTTATGAGTTATAATATTTTGTAACATATTTTAAAATGTATATAATACATTAGGACACGGGTCCAATGTATCAAACTTTCTCTGATCGATTTCAACGAAACTTAATAATAATAATTTATATTATAATATACCAATTTACCTACACTCTACATGTGTTCTAGTGTACAGATAACCTCGGAAAGGTCACAATATTTTAGTCATCATTACTCATGCACGTAAACATATCTATATATATATATATATTTCGATTCCCACACACACACACACACACACACACTTACTATATAGTATACCTATATCACGGTAACGTAGGTACATTTATATCGCCGATTGCTAAAGATCCTCGATTCATTCAACCGTGCGGTGTCGAACGAGAAGCACATATCATTATAGGTATATTTTATACCCCTACAACTTAATTTACAGTGATAGGGGTGCGCATATATTATAATTTTTTTTTCTTTAAAACGTATTTAGATTTTCACGATAAAAATCACCAATTACAATGACGGCTTCGAGCAAACATGATTTGCCACACTTTGTGGCCTTCAACAGGATCATGAAATTGCCGGTCGTGTCGTCGGGAGTAAACAAAGCGACGTACATCTACGTAAAAGTTAAGGTAAGTACTTACAGCGATAATAATAATTATTGTTATAATATAAGTTATTGCTTGCGTTAGTATAATCAGTGTATGAATTGGGAAAAAAAATAGAAGGAGGATGCAAAAGTTTAAAAAAAAAAACGTGAGGGTACCTGAATATTTAATTGTCTTACTGATTAGGATATAATAATCAGAAGGGGTACTATCGTAATATTAATATTAAAAAAAAAAAAAAAAACATTGACTCCGTTCCCTCGTCGATTCAATCACTGGATATAATTTTGCTAGTATTGATTCTTCCGCGGGATATTTTCAACGGTTTTCAAAAATTTGTCACTAAGCATACATAATATTGTTATAGATGTCTAACCGAGTGATTGGATATAGCTTGGAAAGCGCAGAAAAGACCGTATTGAGCGTCGCGGACATGTCTGTACCACTGGTCATCAAATTCGAAGACCCGATCAACAGAATTGACGATATTATGTGTAAGTCGTTGGACGTCGTCGAATACAACATACCGATGGTGACCTACACTCCAGAAGAGGTGAGTACTTTTAAAATATCGTGTAATAATAATATTTGATATTAATATATTATAATTTATAGTAATAGTTTTTTTCGGTAATTCATAAAACGTAAGAATGAAAAAATGCATGCCAATTATTACAAATATGGTATAATATAAGAGCAATTAAAATACTAAGCTTTTTTCCTTTAATAATTTTTTTTTTTTATTGGTCGTGAACATGTTCAATTTCTACTTCGACTACTATGGCCATTAGCATAACATTATAAACATAAATATACTAAATTTATAATGGATAACAGAGAAAAGAGAGAAAAAATAAAATATGCAAAAAGCAGTTTTTTTTAAATTAATAATTTTATATTAATAATCTTTGATAAACATTCAGTTCGTAAACTATATGCAGTATATTAATGCACTTGATCTGTTTTAGGTCGTTAATAGCATTGTGGTAGGTATCTATATCAATATTTATCTTCTGTAAGCCGATAAAATATGTAGGATAAAGTATCAGAAAAATATTTAAAAACCATATTAAAGTTATTATTTCTGTAATGGAATTTGATTTGATTATGAACTTGTGGACAGACATGGCGTGTTTCCGACCACAACGAGATTAAAAGAGATTAGCTATAAAGGTAGAGGAATAATGATTAGATGCATTATATTAAAAATGCATATCGATATAAATTAATTATGTGTATTATTGTACAAATTTAAAATGAGGATAAGTATATATTTTATATGTATACCACTGTTTCAGCGACCAGTGATTTTTTCAGTGCTTTATTTGAAAGTTATAATGTTATATCTTCAAGGTCATGAATATTATTTAAATTTCTTGCTTTTTATCACCTAGGTACGTGTAATTATAATAAGTACACACTTTTAAGTTATAAAACATTATACCGTTGATTTTACAATATACTAACATAAAATATTTTAAAAGTATATTTATCAATTTTAAGTATATATAATATATATATATATATATATACTATTATAAAACCAATGGTTATATTTAAACATCTACCAAGTACTAAGTGCGTTCATCCCTAGTTATATTCACCAAATATATATATAAATGTATATTGCTACATGTGGTGTTTTTAATTAGTGTCATAGTTAGACGTTGGCAATATTAGTTTTATTAGGATTGATGTACAATATTTGATGTACAATACCAATGTAGTAATACTTTAATATTATTAATAATAAGACAATGGTATCATACATATTAAATATGAGTGGGTTGCGGATATAAAAAATATCTATATATTATATAAATAATTATTTCTTACGGTCACCCCTGAATTAGGCAGTGCCTATACAATAATCATAATTTGTACCTATTAAATCATATTATATAATAAAATACATAAAGGCGGTTTTACCATACCTACTTAGAGTGGGTAGCCAATCTAACTGCTGGAACTTGTTGTTAGACCTTAGTTTGTAACAATATAAAATAAAATACCCAACTTTAGCATATAAATTATCAGAAATATGAATATCTTATAATATGTTTTGATGGATAAAACTACAAAATTCAAATATAGATATTATTTAATTATTTAATAATCAAAGATTTTAATCGAATTTTAAAGAAAAATAAGTTTATATAATATTATGCTATTGTAGGTATATTAAATTAATACTAAAATGTTATCTTATACTAATACCTAATACTGTTAATACCTAATAATAGTTATAATCATATTATGATTCAACGTGACCTTTCCTATGTACAATATTTTTATATATATTGTTATATAGGTACTATCTATAAAGAGTGTAATTTATTATAAATATATAATTCTTATACTATATTGTTTTTGATTTTATAACTGATATTATACGTAAATGATAATATTATAATGATATTAATTATTGAACTTCATATACATTCATCGGAGATATAATATAACATTATTATGTAAATATTTAAAATTGCTGATTTGTGTTCTAAAGTTCAGAATTAACGTAAAACCTAAAAAAAAAAAAAAAAATGATAGTTCCTATTGAAAACCATTGATTTATTGATTATACCTACCTAACTTTCTAGGACATTCGAGTATAACACAAGTAATATACATTTAGTTTATATAATTAATGAGAGAGTCGTTGTCTTTTTCGAAAAAAAACCCATTATATTATATAATATTATAATATACTCGATGATATTGATATAATTAATTATTATTATTATATTTATTTAAACTACACTCGGTAGGCAGTATGATAATAACATCATATAGCAAGTTCCCTATAGTATGTTGTATGTACCTATCTATATCGTTTTGATTTTCCCAGACACATTGGTCAATGATTAATTACGCACGAGGTGATATACCTTTGATCTGTTTCATTGTTATTCTGTTTATTTTCTACAAAAAACTCGTATGTTCATCGTCCGAGGAGATGATTTTGACCTATGTCTGATAAACGATAAGCGTTAACAACTGTATATATAATATAGAGACACCTGAATCACCCGTTCATAATAAGAAATTTTCCTTTAATTAAAGCCTTCTACTAATAATAATAATAATAATAATAATAATAAAAAGTACATGGTAAACCGCAACAACACAATAACAACAGTATAATAGTACTAAACATTAGTGTGCATGTGTAATATATTTATGTACCTACCTATGCGGATGACAATATATAAGTTTTAGAACGGTATAGGTAGGTAAATATATTTGTATATTATATAAGACAGTAATAGCAAGAAAGTTAATTTTACCGATTAAGACCCGATTTTAATGGTATTTAATAAATCTCTGCCATGTAGATTTATTTTACAACCAAGACCTTCGTCAAGGCCAAAGTCGAGCCGGTGCTAAAACGTGCAGACTCCGTGAAACAGCTCAGCATGTTGGACGACGCTTTAAGTGTAGCTGACAAATACGTGGACAAATACTTGCCGGACAAGGATCCGGGCGAGGATGTGGCTGACAAACCGAGTAAGGATTTTTTTATTTAAAAATGAAGTACCTACTAAAAAAAGGGGCCCTGGGGCTTTTGTTTACGACCGATCATCTAATATCCATAATATATATGTGCGATTACTAATAATTATAATATCATATATTATAGTCCCGATCTATACCAAATGTCGGCAATATATTGTGTTGTTGTTGCCTACTGCAGGTACAGAACCGTCTAGCCAGGCGGTGAAGACTATCCGACACGTCAACCACTTTTCCAGAAAACTGCAGAGGCGCTTGACCCGCAGGACGATTGCCGAGGCAAAGCTGCTCAAAAAACAGGGATACGATACCGTCCAGTGCTTCGTGTACTTTGCAGATCTCGTGAGTACCTAGCCGTCCACCCACTCTTAAGACCTAAGCTCTAGTCAAACGCGTTTGAGCGTATTTAGATGAAATCGTATACGACAATCGATTTCAATGACCGATTTGAACGCTCCATGTCATTTATAGTTTTTAATTTTTTTTATTCACGTAGATAAGTTCCATAGCCCAAATGGGCAATGGCTATGTATAAGACACATAGCCCAAAAGAGCGCAGTGATTAAAAAATTATCAAATATCAATTTATGTTTATCCTTTTTATAATATTATTATTCATATTGCACGATGTGTATACACGCGTATGCCTATTGACTAATTAATTTAGTACATTTAGTTCAAAACACGGTAGATTATAGTCTACCTTGGTTTAAATGTTTTCATTGTCATTACACCTTCTTTTGTTAAAATTATTTTTGTAAAGTACTTGTAAGTTATTCATTATAGTTCGTATAATGAAAGTGTAAAAAGTAATATTACAAATATCGATTAATTCGAATTCTTAAATAAAATAAATGATAACTTTTAATTAAAAAAAATTTAAAAAGTGGGCAAGTAGGTAAAACCTCTGATGTATAGTTTTAGGTGTCGAGCGCACCTCGTCATATTTTAGTAGGTCACTGTGATGGATGTGTTAAATTTGAATTCAATGATAAAAAAAAAAACAAAAAACGATTTTGAGAGATATTTTATATATTGCTATGATATTAGTTTATTTTACAATATTAGTAAAATTGTAGGCTGAATTAATTTTTGCCGAAAACATTGCATTTACTATTTAATTAATTATTATATTAGTATATATTATATAATCATAAATTATTTGTATTAACTTTTGAGTCATTATACCGTCTTATCATGAATAGTTCGTGAATAGCCAATTATAGGTCCATGGTATTAATAGGTAATAAATCAAGATATTTTGAAAATCGTCATTGTGTAATGTGTAGAATAATTAGTAAATAATAATATAGGGATTAACAATAATTTTCAGGTCCCTACGAATATTTTCTGAATTACAACAAAATAACAAAGATTAAATTGTATCGAATTGCACATATTTTGTACTATAGTTGAGATTTTTAGATTTCTGCAAGTACAACTTACGATTGAAGACTTAACCGTCTTATTTCTATAAATTTATTAGCCTTGGTAAAAAAATTGAAAATTTTATAAACTTTGAAAATAAAGTCCAGTATACGCCAATAGTTCCAAACATTTAAATTTTAATTAGTTAATTATTTAAGGAAAAGTGAAGGTTAAAATTATCAGTGAATCACCAACTAAACCGGTGCATATATGTTTCATGTTTAACTTAGCCATGTAGCAAGTTACTGTTTCAAGTAACCTAATGACATACTAATTGTTCTTTATACATTTTTTTTAAGACTAACTGTTTTTAAATATCGATATAGAATCAATCTTGATTAGGTCCCCATAATATTATTATGTTTCAAAGTAGAGTTTCTGACTACTAACTGAAAAATATAGAATGTTATTGAACATTTCGACACATTATTTTAATGAGGTATTGTTATGAAACTAAAATATTCGTTTAAAAATCGTTGATTAGCTGGTTTTGAATGTAAACAATCTATTATTGTACATTTGTACGTGTGTACAAATTTAATTACAAAACTAATTAAAATAAATATTATTATTGCAAAAATATAAAATATGTGATTACATAATACCCGATCTATATTATATTTTTACTCCACAATATTATAATAATTTAAAAACGAATCCTAAAATATGACAGCAGTCTTGACCATTAATTGGAATGATTAAGTGTTCGGTAAATCCATAGACCGATACATAATGGTTTATGTCACTAAACTACTAGGTACTGAATATCAGGAAAACACTTTAAACTCACAAATCGTGATCATTTTTCAGTTGGCAAAAGACCCTAAAGCGTTTTCGGAAAAAATGAAGGCCATCTGGAAACACCTGAGTGAGGACGAACCAGAAAATCAAAAGCCACCAGAGAACATTGAACAGCTCATCGAAATGTTGTCGAGGGAAGGAGCTAGACGTTTCGTGCACTTGACCAACTTCGTGGCCAAAAACATCACTATGGGACCCGCATATTTGGGACATGCATTCACCTACGCTTCCCAGGAGGCTGCCGTCTTGGCGGACCAAATTATAAAGGTGTGATTAACAAACAATATGGTTAACACTGACGCGATTAGGGCGCACATTCATTTTTGTTAGTTAAGGCATGACATTAAATTACGGAGACTAACTAATAATCCATGCTGCCGAGTTGTTATTAAGACCCTAAGAACAAAAAAATACGTAGGTAAATTTTGTGGGGCAATTCTGCAACTTAGTTCATTCTTATTAACCGCAATATGATTATTTTTATTTGCATCTGATCATACACCATAGTACAAATTGTTGGGTTCTTTGATATCTAATCAGTTTAGACTAATATATAGGAGTCAACTGCAATGGTCTAATTATTCAAGTCGAAGGTTACATTCAAGGATTTTTCTTTTTATTGATTAACCCGCGGCAACTATGGCCATTGGGTGGTTTTTAAACTGTGGGGGAGGATACTGTAGATTAGGTAAACACGTGCGTTTTAGTTTTGGCAGAATTTAAAATTGGGAACCCGTAGGTTTTTTTCCATGCCCAGTCGGGGGACAGTGGCCTCTCTCTGTAGACAGTTGCCTGTCCAGAGGGAGGAGCCACCCATGGTCGAGATTCGAACCGGCGACGGTTCGCGTCGGAAGTCGGAACCGATGCCTTAGTCCGCCTCGCCACTTCAACCCCCTCATAAAGGATTACATGATATTGATATCGTATGTTATGTTGATATTCGGTATAACTCCGTTTATCATTATATTATATAAATTAAATTTGGGTATAATTTTTAATTACGAACAGAGTACCTAACGACCCTTCATTAGTAACTGGAAAAACTTAAAACCAATGTCGGAAGAGTGTATTTTCTAACTTCTAAGGCCATCTCTAATTATATCACAGTTTAGTGGAATATCAATGTGTTGAATAATTTTAAATATATTATATTATAATCTAATGTAATCTTTTAACGTTTTCAGTACGCCCATTTGGAAAATGCGAAAGGCGCAGTTGTGCAATTTACCAATATGCAGTTGGCCAAATACAAGAAACTCGTTGAAGATCTAAGGAAATTAATACTGGTAAGGGAAAAGTTTATCATAGTATAGTCACTATTATAATAGTAGTGACAGTGGTATAAACTGATCGGTGGAATTTGTACTGAATTCGTTTAAATTTTTCAGGAGTATTTATCGTCAGTGTCTTCCAAAATAAACGAGCCAAAAAAGAAAGAAACCGAAAAAGATAATAAAAACAGCGGAACGGTCGCGACCGTCAAACCCTCAAAAGGCAATAATAAGGTGAATAGCGCACCGGCCGCCACTCCGGCTGCCAATGTTACGACCAACGGAAAACCTTAGTCCTAAGCTTTATTCAAATATTCATCCATCAATTAATATGGCATATATTTGTCAGTTATATTTATTTTATTTTATAAGCGTCTGATTTTTAGAATTCTTTGTACTCTTGATTTGTTTTTATCTTATTTTTTTATAATATGTGAACGTATTGCAATATATTATAATACATATAATATGTAATTATAAAATATTGTTTTGATTTTGGAAAATATATTGTATGTTTTCGTTTTACACATGAATGTTTATAATTTATAACAATAAACAAATATATAAATGATGTCATAATATCATTATTTAATCTAATTTAGGTACAATGTTTGTAACAATAATGTTTGTATGAGTTAGGTTATAGTTGTCTAAGTTTTTGTAACTCCGTAGTGGTCGAATTTTTCTGTTTTAATTAAATCTGGTATAACTTCACAGATAATCTCATATGCGGAAAAATTAAAAACTTAAACTCAGAATATAATGGAACTGACATATAATACACTCCATCACTTCAAGCACTGCAGTGCACTGGACCTACTGAGCTGAGTAGGTACTTTATTGATTATTAATTATAATCATACCTACCATCAGGTACCTATATATAATATTAGGCCACACACGACTACATTGCAATAGGGAGTTTTTGAATATTCATAACAATTATAACAATTTACAACACAGAGTCTATCAACTATTTCAGTACCTATTGCATATTATATTATTATATTCTGTTGTGTATATAGTATATTATAGGTATATATTATACAATTTAGACTTTAGGAAATACAGATAACAGTCAACAGAGGACAAAGTGGTGTGAATTAAAACGTATATCAAGTGAGTTCATCTAAAAAATATGTTTTTCCGTCGTAACATTACCGCAGATGAGTATATTATTGCTACGGGTATTATATTATCTGGCCAACTAACCATATTATTCATAACTCATAAGTCATAGCTAAAAATAACTTGGTCGATGACTATAGCTGTAAATGTGAGGAAAAAAGAATAAAGAATTGTATTCAGGTTTTTTTTTATCTATATCAAATGAGAATCAGTACATGCATTCAAAAATTCATAGGTACATTAGGTAGTTATTAATCATCATATACATGTACATATACTATAATATAATATGTTTGTAGGTTGCATATTATTATAATATTATCTTTAACACCTTTTATAATATTAATCAATAAGATCATTCATTTGATACCAAACAACTCGATCGCACTTATTATTATTTATTATGGCTAGATCATCATATGAAATACATAGATTCATAATAATATAAACTGATTATTAATTTTTAATCACAGTTCAGATGATGTACGTTGGTGGAAATCGTGTAAAATTATGGGGGAGGGGAGGGCTAGAAACTTAAAATGTCTACATACTAAGAGGTTATTGTTCTTGTGTTATACCTCATACTTTTAAATATGCAGAGTTTTTCTTCATGATATAAATTATAGGCTAGTATCTATGTAATTAGAGAAATCATTAATCTTAACTTATGAAGAGTAAGTAGATATTTGAGTTTTAAAATACAAGCAGAAGTAAATTAAGGGTTCCGAGTTAGTAGAAGGTTATTATTTTTATAGTTACTCGGTATAATATATAATTTAACCGAAGACAAATTCAGAGTGATAGAGAGAAAGGGAAAGACACTCAGTATTAAAACAGTAAATGGTTTTCTCAAATGTTTATTAAATCTATGGCTAATACCTAGCTGTTTTAATACATTTTTCAGGTTTATAGATACGACCTTTACGTTTAAGACATTGTCATGGACCTCTGACCTATTTCGGAGCCTTTCCATTTACTTACATAATTATTACGTAACCTTGAAACATAACAATATTTTACTAAAGATAAATGTATATATTTAACTTTATAGACAATAGTCAATAAATAATAAGAGTTTAGATAAAAAAAAGTTTGTACGTTTTAGCCTATTATATAATAGGCTAATAGGTGTTTTACATGATAACAGTATGTACCCTATTATTTCTTCTAATGTACGTGCGAAAATTCCAAATACAATTTTAAAGTTCATATTCACATTAAAGTAAATACATATTTCGAGCAAAAGTATAGCTATGTAAATCATTTTTGGTCAAGTAAGAACGTTCAGGCATAGTACCTATTATACGTAGGTCGTAGGTAGTATAGATAGATACTAGGTAGGTTCTATAGGTACTTAATAGTATGTAGTAAACATCTGTTTAGATAGCTATATATTGAACTATTGACAAACCATGTAGTTAAGCCGGTTTACAATTAATGGTTAAAACCGAAAACTGCAAATTGGACATGAATTAATTAAATCCTTTTATATTGTATTTTAAGTATTTCTTATTATAGAAATATTAGTTTGTATAAAATACTTTAATAAGTTTAGTTTCTTTTGATAATATTTTCGTAAATCAGGATTTTCAATTTTAATTGTAGGTATTTGAAATGACGGTGTGTATAAATTATAATTTCGTCATTATAGGTAATTTAATAGTAAATAAATTTAATTCCATAATTATATTAGTTTAATATAACTTGTAGCTGTTAACAGTATTACCATATTAATAACTATTATAATATTTTCAAGAAGACGACAAAATTAGCATGATATACCGATATCATCGGTGAAAGGCCTATCATAGGTGTAACTAGGTGGGGGGGGGGCTTGGGCTGGCTTCAGCCACCTCAGAATTTCTTAAGCCCCTATACATTTTATTAATAATTTTCTTATTAAAAAAATGCTAGGGCTGAAGCCCCCCCCCAACTTTAAGGTCTAGTTATGCCTATGTGCGAGTCGGACTCGAACATGAAGGGTTCCGTAGCAGCAAGTAACATAAATAATAAGTCTTTTCGTTTGGCCGGCACAAACTTTGGCCCCACCACCAGGTCCAGCATAAGTCTTATACCAAGTCTCAGTCCACTATGGCATATAACCCATCTTAGTCTGTCTTAGCTCGTGATTGAGATTACATTTTCAAATATATACATGACAAAATAGATAAATATTATATATATATTACTATTATTATTATTTACTTATTTACTTATTTACTTATTAAAAAAAAAACTACTTACTAGATCTGGTTCAAACCAATTTTCGGTGGAAGTTTGCATGGTAATGTACATCATATGTTTTTTTAGTTTTGTCATTCTCTTATTTTAGAAGTTAGAGGGGGAGGGGACACACATTTTACCACTTCGGAAGTGTCTTTTGCGCAAACTATTCAGTTTTAAAAAAATGATATTGGAAACCTCAGTATCATTTTTGAAGACCTATCCATAGATACCCACGTATGGGTTGGAAGAAAAAAAAATGTTGAGTTTCATTTCTAAGTATGGGCAACCCCCAAAATGTATTTATTTTTTCTATTTTTGTGTAAAAATCTTAATACGGTTCTTAGAATACATCTACTTGCCAAGTTTCAACAGTATAGCTCTCATAGTTTCCTTGAAAAGTGGCTGTGACACCATGACGGACAGACAGACAGAGAGACAGACATGATGAATCTATAAGGGATCCGTTTTTTGCTACGGAACCCTAAAAACCAGTAGGTACCTATCTAACCTATCTCGTACTTACATTTTGGATCGGCGAATATGATGCTCTTCAGATTCTACACATATTATGTTTCATCGGGAAAGTCAATATTTATGTAAGTTTTTTTAATTCTTTTAAATTTTAAGTATCTATGGTTTATTTGTTTTTGAATTACAACAAAATGATTAACCGATTTTGTTGAAAACAAATTTTGAGTAACAATAAATTACCGTTATCCTATTTTTTGTTTGTGTGTTTTCCCGGTGCTTTTGAAAACTTCTATGACATTTACCTCCCGAATGTACCAACTACCAACTAGATTTACTTCTCATCAGGAAATATACTGAAGTTGAAAATCGACTATTTATCGTGTAAACAGACACAAAAAAACACACACACACAATATCATTGTTGATTTAAATCAATGCATTCATTGCTCCGCTCAGAATCTAAAAATGATCAGTATTTTTCTCAATAATGATACGAAAATCAATAAAACCAGAAAAGAGTTTTAAAATGTCGGTATAATTATTGTTTAAACAAGTCGTCTTTCAGTCTTTCTGGTTTTTAGTAACAATTCAATGATGTTTAGGCACGTGGTATTGAATTGTAGGATATAGGTTTGGACTTTGGGTGTCCGCTATAACGCCAGAACAGTCTTTATATATTAATTTAATTTGAACCAAAATAAAAATAACTTTAATTTATAGTAATGTAAGTTCGTAATATCGTTAAAGATTGCCCTGGGGTGGTATGGTGCCCGATGGGTGATCCCAGCCAGGGTTGGTAAAAACTTGGGCGGCTTGAATTCATTTTGTCCGATTTAATGAATGTATTTATTTTTTTTTTTAAATATTTACAGCATTCAGTATCTAAGAAACAAAAAAAAAAGAGAAAAAAAATTACATATCTACTTAGGGTTAAATATTTTTTTTGAATTTTATTATTATAGCCAAAGTTTCTGTTTCCCGTCGTCGATTTTTATTCCCAATCTGACCCTCGGCCACTTGAGGAGGGGTATGTTTTATAATGTATTCAATGAACCTACGATAATGGCAGCGACATCAAACGCTATATATTTATACTATTCATCACGCGCGTGAAATCCGACCTGTCCCACTAGATAGCGTTGTTATTTACGATTTTTTTGTTGATTTATTTAACTTTTATGTAATGCGCTGACCACTATGCAAATATACCACCTATTGTAGTCCTATTATATACCTACTATACCTATGTTCCTATACCTATTATATGCAATATAATAACGTGGTATGATAATATTATGGACCTACTTATGTATTTGCTAGGTACTATACTTCATCACAATATAACAGATTTCGTAATGTTATTAGCTTGCTCACATTTTAATCGTTTTTCGTTTACTTTATTATTTTTCTGTGGCTGATGTACTCAAAATGTCTAATACCTATCTATTTATCAATAAAAATAAGGATTT